GTTTATGTTTTGAACCAATCAATATCAATACAATCTCACACGTTTGGTGTACCGAATACGATCTATTGAAAACCAGTGGCGATTGGCGAAGCGTGAATGATTCATCATCGATATTTCTCCATTTGAGGCTATGGTAAAGAATCGATTTTTGAGGTATTCGTTTGCGAACACCCTGTCTACTCATCCTTTTCCATAGGTTTAACAAATGGTAGATCAATCTATACATATATTGCAAAGCACGCTACGCCACTGGTGAAAACATTCCTATCCTCCGTGAGAAGAAGATCCTGTGAAATTTTCAATGAATGATATTGATTTATTCTTTGTCAAAAAATTAAAAAAGGAACGGAGATTTTGAAACGCCGCAGTTTCGCCATCAAAATACATCCCGGTGATTCTAACATCACCTCGATGGCCAACCATGTGGAATCTGGATTAAGGCAGTGAATTGATCATTTTTTTTTCCAACGTAGAAAAATATTTAAATACCGAGTGAATTTCATTAATCAACCCATATGCAAGATATCATAGATTTTAGCGTTCAGTGATGGTCGCGCAAGTTCACTGACCAGGCGCGTAAGGACCTTTTCAATATCTGGTCAAGATAAAATGATTAAACAAATTTACAAATGACTTCTAGCAGTTCTAGCGCATGTTATTACGTGGTTCTTTCATTTTAATTCACCCAAAACCGTAACTAATTTGCTTCAATGACATCGAAAGGCACTAAAAGACGCCCTCTTAATTAAAAATTGCATATAATATACTTAAGGAGCCAGGGCCGGATTTATGGGCCGCCTGTATTTTTCCACCCCCTTCTCATTTGTTTTGAAACATCAATAGATCGTATTCGACAGTGGTTCGATGTATCGTTTGGTTCCAAACAATAGAACATAACCCCAAACAAAAATTTTATGATTTAATTTGGAAAAACTGAAAATGAGAAAATTCCTAACAATTTCACTTTTCATTGCCATCTGGTACTCGAGAGAATAAAAATTCGATCACATAAGACCCGTTACCTCAGATTTCTAAATTGACTTTTGCGGCTTTGGTTACATATTGAACCGATTGATATCAATATAATCTCACCTGTGTGGTCTGTCGAATACGATTTATAAAAACCATCAAGTGAACGTGCCGGTATGGGGGAGGGGTATATAAGACGCGTTCACTCGTGTTAGGCAAATTTTTTGTAAAAGCCCTGTCAACACTAACAAAAGTTCAGTTCCGTAAACCCATCCCTGTTCGGACAAGGCCTTCTATTTATATAAAAGAACGAAAAAATTATGAAAGAACAAACATAAATGTGATTAAAAATTTTAACTTCCACCGCCGCGCTGACCGCACTGTGTTGGCGCAATGCGTGAGGTATTCATGCAGTCTTGTAGGCGCTATGCGTTTCACGCCGATCGCTGCTGACCACACTGTTTGACGCAATGCGTGAAGTATTCATGTAGTCTTGTAGGCGCTATGCGTTTCAAGCCGACCGCCAACCCGCTCCGTTCCAGGTCAAATTGCGTGTTTGGTTTCTCTGTTACATGCATAAAGTCGCTTTTATAGCGCCGCCTCGCGCTCTGCGACGCCCAATCGCCATTGCCCCCTATCCTCCCAGGGATCATCAGGCAATTGGCACCTTCTGATCTCCTCCTCCACCCCTTGTCGCCAACCTTTCACAGGACGTCCACGCCGTCGCCTTCCGGGAGGAACCCAATCGAAGACCTGCTTGGGCAACCGGTCGTCTGCCATCCTTCGCACATGGTTTCTCTGTTAACTAGACTAATTAAAGGTGTTGTCTCTTGTATCACCGAAAGACGACAAAATTAGAAATTATTATACTTTTTCTCTCAGGAAATGAGAGATTTTGTCGCCTTTTCTCGTTTGTAATTTATTTTCTGAATCCGATTGCTTTCTCTCATTTTTTGATACTTACATTCAAAAGATTGCAAAATTTTCCGCCCCCTAAATTTTGCCGCCATATGGGCCGCGGCCCATGTGGCCACCCCCTTAATCCGGCCCTGTAAGGAGCTACAATTTGTGAACACAGGATAAGAAAAAATAACTTTATTAAAAGAAATAGTTACTTTACATCCTATACAATTGGTAGATAATGTTATAAGATACAATAAAAACAGAAGCTAAAACAAAAATCCAATGCAACTTAAAAGGGTAGAACAATGTTAATCATATCACTTTTTCTAAGTTGTAAAAATGTGCTATTGTAGGAAGAAAGCAAAATTTTGAAACTGAAGTTGTGCTAATATGGATTAGTTTGATGTCCTCTAAAGGAGAAAAATGCGTGTACTGCAAAAAAAAAAAAAATATGGCTATTCAACGTCTGCTCAAGAAAATTCATGACAGTGTTAGATACCCACCCTTATATTATTTGTGCTTTTGAAGAAGAAACGGCTTATTATACCTCTCATCTGGAAATTTTCCGCACACACAGTATAATTCAATCTAGTCAAATTTGCAACTCTGACACAAAAATAGATAATATCGCACCGGGATCAAACCTTTCATCCCATGTGGAGGTAACACGCCACATATACCGACGGTAAAACCATCAGACTACGTATCTCGTTAAACTATAGCAGCAGGTATTTTGGAGAGGTATCAACACGAACTGCAGGCCCAAAATGATATAATAGTTACTAAAAAAATTGATAAAAATAATGCAAATAAGGAAGTTAGAGCGTATAATCACAATTTGGCTTTAATACTGCCGTCAAGGGCAGAGCATTCATGGTATGGAAATGGATCTCATGAAAGCTAATCCATATGTCCGTAGGAATTGGGAAGGAAATGCGTATCATCAGGTTTGGCATATCAGTTGACAAATTATTGAGTTGGAATCGATAACATATTGTGATCAATAAGTAGCATATTGCAAGTATAGATATATTTTATTGATCGAGGCAGTGGCGCGGCGTACTTCACGATATATCGATTGATCTGTCATTTAAACCTATGGAAAAGGATCGATAAACAGGGTGTTCGCAAAGAACACCTTAATAATCGATTCTTTACCATAGCTCCAAATGAGGAAATATCGATAATCGATCAGTCATGCCTCGCCATTGGTGGTGGGTTCATAGAGGAATTATGAAGTTTCAATTAATCCCGTAGGTCCAATTTTGTGTCTCACTATTTGCACAACCAATTTGTTTAGGACAGCAATACTTGAATAAAGTGCAGGCAGAAAGCATCAATACAACAAAAATGTATCTATCTGAAAACAAATGCTCATTGACTGGTTGAAAAGATCGGTGGAAACTTTTGAAAAGGAGCAACGTGTTGGCAAAGCGACGTCATCAGACGTATAAGAAAAATTTAAACTCTGCTATTTTGAAAGAGCGACGCCAAGAATGGCACAATTTGGGCCAGAAGGGATTTTTCTGAAACCGGGCCCAAACGATACCTTATGATACCCTAAAACTCTGGTAAAAATTTTAGCTTGAGTATACGCACTGTTTTTGAGAAATGGGGGGGCAAAGTTGCCAAATCGCCATCATTCTGGACAGCATTTTTACAGCAAAAAGACGGGAAAAATGGACGAAAAAGTTACACTATTGATGGGTTTGGGCTGTAAATGTTCTTATTGAGCCCCCGTGCATGTAACTGTGTTCAGTTTCAAAAATTTTGGACGTACAGTGGTCCGAAATGGGGAGAAATCGTGGACAGATAAGGATTCTTTGTCAAACTTTTTAAAAATGGAAGTAAAATTGTTGGTCTATTGCAGAGATCATGTGAAACAATGTTCTTATCGGTCTTCAATGCATTCAATTGAGTTCAGTTTATCAAATTTTCATCGCACTATGGTCCAAAATGGGAAATCAGTGGACAAATTAAGATCTTCTGCCTAACTTTTTAAAAATGATGTACGACTATTGGTCCCCTGCAGAGATCATGGCGAACAATGTTCTTTTCAATGCATTCAATTGGGTTCAGTTTATCAAATTTTCATCGCACAATGGTCCAAAATGGGAAATCAGTGGACAAATTAAGATCTTCTGTTGAAATCTAACCTAACCTAACCTAACCTAACCTTTCCTAAATCCTTAGAAAGGATTTATTGTAAAGTATTATTCTAACTACAATTATTCTCTGACAACTAACTAGGACAAAAACCACCCAGTTTGCCGGATTTTAAGGATCCAAAAGCTAAGTTCCTCCTGAATTACCGTTTCCAGACCTCATTTGTTCAGTTCAAAACAGTGAACATGGATAGCTTTTATTGGCTACTAACTTATTTTGAATTTACACCTTTCGAATCTAGTGAAAAACCTCATAGTTTCATGTTATTTTTCAAAAATTTCAACAGAAGATCTTAATTTGTCCACTAATTTTCCATTTTGGACCATTGTGCGATGAACATTTGATAAACTGAGCTCAATTGAATGCATTGAAAAGAACATTGTTCGCCATGATCTCTGCAGGGGACCAATAGTCGTACATCATTTTTAAAAAGTTAGGCAGAAGATCTTAATTTGTCCACTGATTTCCCATTTTGGACCATAGTGCGATGAAAATTTGATAAACTGAACTCAATTGAATGCATTGAAGACCGATAAGAACATTGTTTCACATGATCTCTGCAATAGACCAACAATTTTACTTCCATTTTTAAAAAGTTTGACAAAGAATCCTTATCTGTCCACGATTTCTCCCCATTTCGGACCACTGTACGTCCAAAATTTTTGAAACTGAACACAGTTACATGCACGGGGGCTCAATAAGAACATTTACAGCCCAAACCCATCAATAGTGTAACTTTTTCGTCCATTTTTCCCGTCTTTTTGCTGTAAAAATGCTGTCCAGAATGATGGCGATTTGGCAACTTTGCCCCCCCATTTCTCAAAAACAGTGCGTATACTCAAGCTAAAATTTTTACCAGAGTTTTAGGGTATCATAAGGTATCGTTTGGGCTCGGTTTCAGAAAAATCCCTTCTGGCCCAAATTGTGCCAAAAAACGGTCGTTTTTGGCGTCGCTCTTTGTATTTGTTATTGGTCCCGTATTATCCTTTCACCATTTTCTTCTCATGTCGTGAACATGTTACATATCATTGGATTCCTCTGACTTTTGGCACTTATAGGAGTTCTACCTGCTCCAAGATGAGGTTTAGCATGATCGTGGAGAGATTTTTTTTTCTGAGAGGGAGGAAGGGTGGAAAAAGGGACTATCTACTCCTTCACGAGTCAAGCCTCAAGCGATATGAGTGGCTATAGCTCATCCCATTTTCTAAGGTCCTAGCATCCTGAGGAACACATCCCTTCAGGATCTATAAACCTTAAATATTCATTTAAGGATAAGATCATGGCATAGGTAACCCTCCCTTGAGATGACCGGAGAAGGTATTGCGATTTTATCAATCTGAATGAAAACAAATTCAATATTATCGAATAAAAAATTGCGATAAATTGTGATTTCATCGCGTAAATTTGCAATAAACTCGCGATTTTATCGACAGCGATTTACCGCAATATCATCCAACAAAAAATCGTGATATATTGAGATAAAATTTCGATTTCATCGCACGCGATTTAACAGAGATAAAATTGCGACAAGACTAAGGGTAATCGCTCGGATTTTGATGATTCTGGCGATTTTATCGCCAAAACATCGTAAAAAATCGCAACTTAATTTCAAAATATCGCGATTTTTCCCGTTGAAAAATGCTACTTGGGTATACCTATGAGGATCTCTCGGCGTAGAGGATTCATTCACTTAACTTTTTAAGACCACGAGCTGTTCTCTAGGCGCCTTACAACCAGTGGCGTGGCGTGCTTTGCGATATATCGATTGATCTACCATTTAAACCTACGGAAGATGATCGATTATTAGGGTGTTCACTGCGAACACCCTGATAATCGATTCTTTACCACAGCTCAAATGGGGAAATATCGGCAATCGATCATTCACGCCTCGCCACCTCTGACAATTGCTGCTGAAACTTGATTTTTAATATCTACCTACTCAGTCTTGAATGGCGAGCCGTTACTCAATGATCTTGGGTAGTTACTATGACTGAATCCATTTGAGGAGGGCCGGCAGGACGTTAAAATTGGCGATGGCGATAGCAGTCAGAAGGAGTCCGGTCCCTGCGAGGGGATTTTGATGAGGAGGAGCCGAATTGCATCCATCGAAATCACACGTGAGAATGCAACCGGTCATCGTGCTGTCCTGGTACCGGAACACGCCGCATTGCGAATCCATCGTTTTCATCACGCACGCTCTGATCACCATCCGCTCTTTTACTTCGGCTGCAAAAAAATAATGAAATATCCTCTTAGCATACACTGGAAAAAAAAACGCACATTGGATCTAGAGTCCAGACTCTTAAAAACATCGACAAGAAAAGATACTCTTGATTCAATCAGATTTTTGCTTAAATTAAAAGGAAATCCGCTCAAATTAAGAGGCTTGGTTCTTGATTTAAGCTAAAATCCGATTGAATCAAGATAATTTTTTCTTGTCGATGTTTTTAAGAGTCCGGACTCTAGATCCAATGTGTTTTTTTTCAGTGTAGGGGGCAAAGGGAGATGAACGCGAGTTAAAAATTTCACTGAAAAAATAATAGTTCTGTTCATTAGGCTCATGCACTTTCTTTGTGACAGGTACACACGTTTCTGTTATGAAGACACTGTGGCTACGACCGAAGTTCTGTTCTCACAACAGGAAAGTTCTGCAAGTATAACAAGAAAAGTGCAGGGGCCATGTGAACAGTAGGTTCTGTCATCAGCTCTGACTTTGCTTAGATCTCGATATCTGAAATCACTCAGACCTACGTCGGAGCAATAAAATTGTAAACTTAATCAAAATTATTTTTTTATCAGGTATGACGTATGAATCAGACTCTTCCAAGTTCATGCCCAAAAAATATTTTTTTCGCCAAGCATGAGTGACAACGACGAGCCGCGTTTGTCACTGCGAGCGCCAGAAAAACCAAAACGCCTACACTTTTTCGGGTATGCAACACGGACATTCATTGAACACGAATAGTTGCATGAAGGCGCTACTCTCAACGACGCGTCAACGTAGTTAGAAGGTTTTTTCAGATACGAATAGAAAAGAAAAGAAAAGGGAGAAAAGAGAAGGAAGAAAAAATAAGTAAAGAGAGGTGAATGAAAAGATGCGAGAAATTAATCACTTTATGAAAGTTAATTTTTTTGATGCGGTGATTATAGTTTTTTTTTTTTTTTTTTTTTTTTTTTTTTTTTTCTGAGGCACTGTCTAGATTTTCACTCGGATCTGTTGAATCTCCTCTCATATAAGTTCGTGGCTTGATTCAGTGGCGTGGCGTGCTATGCGATATATCGATTGGTATGCCATTTAAACCTATGGAAAAGGATCGATAAACAGGGTGTTCGCAGCGAACACCTTAATAATCGATTCTTTACCACAGGTTTAAATGGCATAACAATCGATACATCGCAATTCACGCCACGCCATTGGCTTGATTCCTCTTGGGTTACTGTGTCGCTCTCAAAGTTTTTCGTAAACTGATTTCATTTTCACCGTGTGTGCTGGTTCTCGGATTACTTGTTGGTTATCAACACTCTTTTACCAGTACTCATCAATCGACCGAAAACAGTTGAGAGATTCGCCTGATGTCACTAGATTTTTTAACCGTTTAAGCAGAATTAGCTGATATCAGTACAGAATCAAAAAGTAGAAGCAGAATCCCTTCACTCCCTTACAGGTATCTGTTCCCACTTGTCATTTTCACCAGAAAAACCCGCCAGTTCTACATCTCGATTTTTTCTGTGTGTTTCTACATATCGACGGCGACTACAAGACCACGTATGTACCTCGGTTTGCAACGTTGTAGAGTTCCTGTCATACTTTATTTTATAAATGGAAAACTTCTCAACGTCAATTCTTTTAAAAAAAGCCGTGCTTTTTCTACTCTATGCGAAGAAAACCCTGTAAAAATTTCAATAAATAATATTGATTTGTTTTTCTCCAAAAAAATAAAATGGGAGCGGAGATTTTTAAACACCGCAAACGAGATACACGGAGAAAAAACTTCGTGCGTGGGACCCGAAGTTTAGGTCATATGGATCTCTGAAGTTTTCGGATTGAGCATCTGAACGTTTTAGGTCCAACTGCTGAGGTTTGGATGACACATCTGAAACTTCAGTTCTTACATCTGAAGTAATGTGGTTTTCACACCCGGAAAACTTCGGTTCTCACATCCGAAAAACTTCAGTTCTCACATCTGAAGTACTTCAGATGTAAGAACTGAAGTTTCAGATGTGTGATCCAAACCTCGACAGCTAGACCTGAAGTGTTCAGATGCTCAATCCGAAAACTTCAGAGACCCATATGACCTAAAATTCGGGTCCCACGCACGAGGTTTTTCTCTCCGTGTACGTGGTATGGTAGTTCCGCCGTCGATATAAGCACTTTATGGATACTTACTGTTCTCTCCGACGATTTTGATGCAGAAGTTGGCCGGGAAAACCCCGGTGTGTCCTTTTTTGGGCACCATGCATTTCTCAGTGTAGTTGGACATGGCAGGATGAAAGGGGTCCTCGCAGCTTGGACTGCTCCCGTTCACCGACGAACACGTGTAGCAGTTGATTGAACTCCCGCCTGCCAAACATCCCGAACACATCCATTAAACTCCTACCTTGCGCAAATGCTGGGTAAACAAGGAAAGCACTCGCAAAAGACGCTGCCACTCTCTGTCAATCGGGCCATGAAAAAATAACGATGTGTCTAGGGAAATTGTCGTTTGTTCGACGAAACAACGTAACTATGCACTGAAAAAGATAATATGCTGTTTTAGCACCTAGGATGTCAAAAATGTGTCTGGTGATCCCAAGATGCTACCTCTACTGCCTTCGCAGTTAACTTTACAGCCTATGAATGCAAATTCAACTGCGTGGGCAATCAAGGTAGCATTTTAGGATTACTAGACACTTTTTTTGACATCCTAGGTGCTAAAACAGCATACCACTTTTTTCAGTGTTGCGAAATTTGCACTTGCAGACTGTGTTTTTACTGAGAAGCTTTCGGGCGTTTCTCATTGAAAATATGATTCATTTTTCTTCCGGCAATACACAAATATCAGGGGAAAATTAGGGCATAAATCGCATAACTCTTACTCTCGTGAAAAATAGAATTGTTTCATCTAATTTTGCAACCTTGAACCTAGGGAATGACAAAATGGGAAAAGCCTATATCCTCATATTTTCTTTTTCCCCCTCTTTCTTCATTCACAGGTCGAAGTTTTTGACCTAGGACTAAACCCCTATCAAGGTTCAGCACTGGTGTCTTTGGAGAGAACCCAATTAAGAGGAAGACGACCCCTCTGATAATGTTTATTTTTTTGAATTTACAAAAAAGCATCTTTTATTAGACGGATATATGCAGACATGTTCAAAGTGAATGTACAGCGAGAGTAAGCAAACGTCGAGATATCGAGCAAATGTTGCTAAAAGACTGGTTCCTTCCTTTCAATTTAAATTTTTGACAAAAAACGGAATCTAGAGGCGCATTTTGGCTGTTTATTCCCAAAAAGTATCCTTTTTTATAACCTTGATCAAAGCTGAAAAAATCCACAAGTGAAAATGCACACTTCGATTTATCTTACGGAATGCAACATTTTGTGTTTGGATACCTTCATCTAATTTTAGAGTTTGCAAACCCTGGTAAAAATTGGCAGTAGAATGTGTGTTCCAAAATACTATATAGAGCTAAAGCTGGCTGTAAGATTTCCAATAGCTTCTGTAGCCGGCTACACAATTTCTTATGGCATATTATAGCCGATGGCGATTAAGCAACAGCCAGACGATAAAGTTTATGCTAAACGTTACCAAATACGGATACTAGGACTTACTCAGTTTTTGAACTACCGTTCTCTTTCTGTGCCGTAGTATCTTGATTTATTTTGCGAGGAAAGCTCCGTACTTTTGAAGGATGCCTGTCATTCTTAATATGTTGGAGCGCCTTCAATTTCTTATGATACGGTGCAATACCTCTGGTGAGAAATAGTTTCTTCAGACGCCGTGCTACGCTGCGGCGCGGCGGGCGGGCAGAGAGCGCGAAACGCGCATTGGCGCCTACAAACCTAACCGGGATACTTCACGCATTGCGCAATGCGTGAAGTATCCTGTTAGGTTTGTAGGCGCTAGTGCGTCACCGCTCCGTTTTGTGTTAGGCTCTAATATTTAATCTGGCGGAGTCAGCGTTATTCAACTCATGATTTTGAAATGTTTGCACACTCTGTATGGATTATTCTTATTTTAATTGATGAAATAAATATGTTTTAAAGGAAAATATAATGTGCGTTTTGTAAGTATTAAGGTAGAGTCGTATCAAACTTAATGATTTCCAAAGCACACGAATTTCTACACAATTTCTCAATGGCGATAAAGTGTAAAGCCCACCGATAGGAACTATATCCCGACTGTATACTTTTTTATAGCTTCGTATAGCCCGGCTACATGATTTGCTTCGCTTTCTACAGCCAGCTATATGATTTTCAATAGCCTTCAATAGTCGGCTATAAGAACTCCTATGGTATTTTGAAACGCAGCTCCTATCGTCAATTTTTACCAGGGAAATAGACCGCATTTTGTGACGGAACAGTTGAAACATGCCTCCTACGGTAATAAATCCGTTTTACTCGAAAATTTAAACTGAGACCAATATTTCAGCAAGGGTTTTTTAAAAATATTTTTATGTTTTTTACATTCAATATAGTTTCACCCTAGAGCAGAACATTTTTATGTAACTTTCGTGAATAAAAAGTTAAGCTTTATTATATCTGCCTGCACGGATAATGTGTTACTTATATAAATTGGGTCTTTATTCTTGTACAATCTTCATTATTTCTTCATTTGAATACTCGCTAGAACTTTGCAATTTTAAGTCACTCTTACATGTAAAATCTTAATGCATGTATTTCGTACCTTCTGAAAAATTGATTTTTCTCCTGTCGAACAAAAGAAATCTTTTCCTAGTATTTATTTTTCATTTGATAATTTTTTTTTCATCGGCGCCGAAAAAACCGATTAAAATTTCTATCGAATGTGTGTTGAAGAAAAAGCGCACGTAGGCATCTCTAAATCACTCTATTAGCCTGTGTGAGTGTGTTTTTTTAAATATATATAAAAATATTTCGTCATTTAATTTTCTCCGGTTAATGATGTTCAATATCCATGTTCGTGAGGCGAATTTCACGCTATACATCCTCTCTTATAAACTTACTTTGAAGCATGGTGAGGAGAAGGAGTGAAACCAATTCTAGAATCCATGCTCCCATTATTTGGACTCAGCTGGAAACAGAAGATAAACTTAGCATGAGGGATTAAAACATATCAGGAAGACGACATTTAAGGTAGAGCTAAATAAAAAGACGATCAATGAGGTTTTTTCGCCTCTTTCATCAAATAAACGGACGTTAGTTTCAGGGTCTAGTCATTTTTGGGAAATTCTGTGAAAACAGAAGTGAATTACCTACTAAATGCCTCATGAGAATAAGGAATTGACAAGGTCATAAATACTCTTTTACCACGGCCCGATCACCGTGCAGCACCGGTTGGAAATCCGAATGAGATGCTCGAGGAATACTTTGCCTTCATTCGGCCAGTTATGCAAAAATGCAACCCACGGGTCGAAATAATTATCTAGATCAACTTCGATGGCTACACATCGACAAAAAGACTGTGCGACATGTCGCGGTAAAATCAGGTAGGTACAACTTTCACATTTGTATACCTAAGTCGATCTCGCACTTAAATACTGTCAACTTTTGAATACTTTTATTAGGGTGTAAATAAAACAATTTTTTTTTCAGGTAAGTAGGTACGGCAAAACTTTCTTCAAGCCAAGTAAACATCCACCTAATTTCATAATCGACCTAATTTCGAATACAGAAACTGCAGTACCCATTGAGGTAGAATAATTTGAAAATGAAAAAATCATACACATTACATGAGATCTCACCTTTTCAACAGCATGTAGCCCCTCCTTTCGAAACTCCGAACACTTATCAGACGTGCATTGTTTATAATTGGCGAAAAAAATTCGAATGTAGGCAGGTCTCGTTCACCGTGAAAATCCTCACATTTTCAACACGAATCCGTCAAAAATTGTGCGATTATTCCTCCGACTGGATAAAGGAAACAGGCTGATTAAATAACACGAGAGACCGAGAATCTACGCCGCTTGATCTGAACTTGTTTTACATCATGAAACTTTACTCAAGACACTTTACTTGTGATACATCCTCTTGATGTGCCACAAAACTGCAAGAGAGTGATCCTGTGTTTACTTTCGCGCTCACTTCTTCATTAACGATTTTCCACAGTTTTCAGGCACTTTCCCGGCATGGATGATCAGCTCGCACATCTCAACTTTTCGAAAACATCGTTCCACCCTGATTTACCCTTGCTCGGAAGGGAGAGACCGATTTCCCCCGGAAAAAATCACGAATTCCGTAAAAAATAGTGGAGGCGAAGTTCCGAACTGGGTTACTCACGGAGGGCTGTGACGTCACTCTTAGCGACGGTTGCTAAGCCTGATATCTTCGCTAGCGCCTGGCGCCCGCGCGGCTCCGGGATCGAATCGATTCGGTCTCTGAGTCTCAGATGGAGCAGCAATAAATTTCAGTCCGCACTCTCGTTCTTCGCTTCCGGTACATAAATAATTTGGCCGGTTCGCAACTTCGAAATCTAGGAATTCACTCGAGTTGTGGCGAGCTAACTGTACCGTGTATACTGTAGTAGGATCCTAGCTGTAACCATCACTTACTTGCTCTAAATGTTAATGCTTCTGTGAATGTGAAAATCACCCTAACTCCTCGTACAGAGATATACGGATAACACATGAACCCCCATGCGTTTTTACGGAGATCCATTTCGCTACGGTTACAAACATGGCCACAATTTATACTGCATGTTCATTCCTCGCTATAGGCGTGGACAAACAATTGAAAGGCCTGGAGGACAAGGCGCAAAGGTGCAGTTTTTGCGATTTCGAGAAATACTTGTTTGAAGTTTCAAAATTACATTTACATTCCTTATGACGCAAAGAAACTTCAAACTCGCTTTTTGATGCTTAAAACTTTGAATTTGGGTGCGAATTTTCCCCAGAATATGTAGGTATAAAGACTAGTTTTAGTTGAAATCATTAATACCTCAATTTTTTCTGAAACTGCACTTATGCGCCCTGTACACAGTTAAAGATGCTGAATTAAATTTGTGTTCTTGGTTAAAAACAGCCCATCATTTTGTGAAAAATTAATGGAGACACATGTTCATTTAGGAACAACTTTACTTTCATAAATTTTTGATAGGAAAGTTTGTTTGTGCCCCTGAAGTTGTATGCAATTCCATTCTATCGTAAACAAGGACCCACGCCACGGTGGGGATTCTTTTCCTCCGTACAGAGAAACAGATTAAATTATAAAAATTATATATTTATATAAAATTATAGTCTGTAGTTTTCGAAATTAATTTTGAGCTTGAAGCCTCGTTGACTTGTTTTTTTGCTGTCATTTTTACATAAATTACAATACTTTCACATCACTTGGGTACCTAATAAATGCTGATTTTCAACGATCAATAAGATGAGATCCATGTATCAGAAGGATAAGCAATTTGCAATGCACATACAAATTACATCTTATTTCAATTTTATCGCGTTAAATTTCCATAGGATGTGTACGTTCAATAGGGAGACCACATTCAACACTTCGATGGAATGGCATGTTGATTGAAAATTTAATCTCGTACTGCTGAGGTAGCAGGTAAAGTAGTAATGTAGCAAATAACGCTTAGCCAAAAATAAAAACCAACATTGAAAAGAAGTTATGTAGACGCGACTGGCGACCGTAATGTATTTGATGCAATGAGTGAAGTATTCATGCAGTCTTGTAGGCGCTGATATGCGCTTGGCGCCAACTGGCGAGCGCACTGTGTTTGACGCAATGCGTGAAGTATTCCTGCAGTCTTGTAGGCGCTAATATTGCGTTCCGTGCCGATCGGCGGCCGCATTATGTTTGGCGAGATTAGAAACGATGATACAACTTTAGATTTGAAAGAAACTTTAGAAACAGAGGAGAGATAATACTTTTATAGAAGAGCTGGGTAAAGTTGATGAAATTTTTCGGGCAGGGAGCAGAAAAAAATAGGTAATCGAAAAAGGGGTCTATCGAAAATTAATTGAAAACAAGTAGCAGAAGGTAGTGCGAGTAAAGTCACTTATTAATGAATGTGAAGTGTTTCTAATGGGAAATTTTGTGCTCTTTATAAAAGGTTAAATGACATTTTTCCGTGGGATTGATTGTTTTTTGAGATACAAGCGAAAAACCGGTCGTCGTCGGCGCGGCGGCGTATTTTGGCCAGGCCGCCTTTTTTCGAGATGTGGCCTTAGCGGACAGCCGATACCGATAAACTTCTGTTACGTTGTTCTGCGGTCAGGCCTGCCACACGGGGGGGGGGGTACTGGGTCCCTGGTACCGGGGCCCGGGCTCCGGAGGGGGCCCGTGTTACCCGTGAAAAACCACTACGAATTCACATGCAACCCTTGTTTCGTTAAAAAAAGTGAAAAATTTACCCTAAAAATTTCGCAAAAGATGAAGGGATTTTCAGAAACACGCTGGGGCACTGTAGAATTCTTCTTAAATTTTCAAAGAGGTATACTTCTTGGAAAATTTCTATCTATTTTCAAGATTTTCAGTACAGAGGGATATTTTTAGTAACTGCATGAGTTACATTTTCTTCCGTCGTCGGATGCTAAGGGTCTCCAGTCTGAGCATCCTCGACTTCAATGACTCATGGCTCATCTCCCTTGCCACAGACAAACGAAGGGGGAGTCCAGGGGGGCCTGGCCCTCATAGAACTGATAATAGTATCATAAGCCCCCCCCCAAATAAAAAAAATAACAATTTTCCAGATGTTTTGAATGCAACAATTCGCAAGTATTTTGTGCTGAAAGTATAAAAAAAAGAAAAAAAGAAAAAAAAGAAAACATAATTATTCCGCAGAAATTGATGGAAAATTCTTCATGGAAGCTTCAAAATGCGTCCAATTAGTCGTATAAATTCTAAAATTTCTCGCGGGATGCCCCTCGGATCCCCACCCCCCTCCGTGCCAAGGGCCCGGACCTTACAACTGGTACCAGGGCCCGATGGTATGTGGCGAGCCTGCATGCAGGCTATTTCCATTTAAATCTTCCGTCACATTCTTACGGCGCAATGATACGACTATTTGAACTCTCCGGAATGCGTGAGGTGTCACGCCGCATTTAAAGGCGTATTCAAATCAGCCAAGTTCCGATACCCGGATTATCGTTTTGCATAGTTCATATTCTTTTGTTATATTCCGTGCCACTTGTTTATTTTTTATCCTCGTAGAAAAACCACCCATTAGATAAATACAATTCTATAGCTGAAGCGCACTTCAGCTATGCATTCACCACTGCAAAAATTTCAGAGGAAATCGACAAGCCCAGCGTGCATGGAGGCTATCTCCATTTAAATCTTCCGTCACATTCTTACGGCGCAATGCTACAACTATTTGAACTCTCCGGAAAGCGTGAGGTATCACGCCGCATTTGAAGGCATTTTCAAAACAGCCAAGTTCCAATATCCGGATTATCGTTTTGCATAGTCCATAGTATTTTGTTTCCATTTCTAACCACTTGTTTAATTATAATCCTCCCATAAAAACCACCCATTAGCTAAATACAATTCTAGCTGAAGCGCACTTCAGCGCATTCATGACTGCAAAAATGTTAACGGAAATCGAAAAGGCCGGCGTGCATGGAGGCTATTTCCATTTAAATCTTCCGTCACATTCTTAAGGCGCAATGCTACAACTATTTGAACTCTCCGGAAAGCGTGAGGTATCACGCCGCATTTGAAGGCATTTTCAAAACAGCCAAGTTCCAATATCCGGATTATCGTTTTGCATAGTCCATAGTATTTTGTTTCCATTTCTAACCACTTGTTTAATTATAATCCTCCCATAAAAACCACCCATTTGCTAAATACAATTCTAGCTGAAGCGCACTTAAGCGCATTCATGACAGCAAAAATGTTAACGGAAATCGAAAAGGCCAGCGTGCATGGAGGCTATTTGCATTTAAAACTTCCGTCACATTCGTGCGGCGCAATGATGCAACTATTTGAACTCTCCGGAATGCGTGAGGTATCACGCCGCATTTGAAGGCGTTTTCAAATGAGCCAAGTTCCGATACCCGGATTATCGTTTTGCATAGTTCATATTCTTTTGTTATAATGCGTAAGTACCACTCGTTTATTTTTAATCCTCGTAGAAAAACCACTAGTTTGTAAATACAATTCTAGCTGAAGCGCACGTCAGTTAAGCCCTGTTTTATATATTAATCCATGCTTTCTACGGTTCACGCGTAAATCGAGGTACATCCTTACGTGAGAGGGGCAACGTTATAAGCCCTAGGGTTCTTGCCTCTTTTCAGGGTGGTTTCTTAAAAGTTTGGGTATTTCCAAACGTCGTTTTTCTTTTCTTTTTACCTCGGAGCACTCACAAAATTGCTAGTCTCTATATTAATTTGTTCTAACGTTACAGGGGTGATTCATGGTGCGGGTGGAATCGAAATTTTGGATCACTGTGTATTGGTTAGGATATATGGACCGTGTTCATCAGAAAGGAACCAACCCACATTAAGTTGAAACTGAGAAAAGAGGTTTGAAGTTGGATTCCTGCATAAGACTGAATGTGGAAAATAAACTTCAACCCCTCTTCGCACAAAAAAATAATTTGCTATTGGAATTTCAGTTTCTTGCAGGATAAAATATACGGCTAGTGAAACTCAAAAACATTCTTAACTCAACTTTTTTGAAAATGTGGGTTGGTACCTTTCTGATAAACTTTGCCCATAAAACACTAGGCCTAAGATACGAGGTTTATAAATTTGCGAAAAACGATGCAGGCAACATAGTTGTCTTATGGTTTTTTATTAATTTTTCGAATTGCTGGTCCTGACGCAGAGAATTATTTGAAGTTTTATTTGGGTTATTTTCAAAAAATAGAGAAAAAGCTCTGCATCTCGAGAGTGTAGGATTAAATTTTGAAATCAATTTATCTGCCACAAGTACGCTAAAAAATCGTCAATCAATAATAATCAATAGTGTTCATGAGATTTTTTCAGTTGAACTTTTGAGCTATTTAGCTTCCAAAATTAATCACTAAGTCTTGGGACATGGATCTAATTCCTGTTGATCCAATTTTTATAAAAATAACCCGAGTGTAACTTATAATTAGCCATAAATCAGAGAAATAGTCATACAAAGAAATACATATTCACCCTGGATCCAATTGGAATTAACAATAGTAGTCAAAACAAAACCAAACTTTGAAATTAGTAAACATCAGTTGTGTAATTCAATAATTCATGGGTTTATGGTACAAAATTTACAAAAGTTATTTACTATATGACACAAACGATAAAGTCTTGTAAAATTAAATTTAGGGAAAGGAAAAAGGCAGGAAAACAGATTTGAAGCAAAGTAAGGCATAGATCGTTTAGCTTTTTTTTTTTTACCAATTTTGACACAGCATATGGAAGATACTGAAAACATGTTCATGTTTTCATTTGAAGGTCAATATTGACTGAAATTTAGAGGCTTAGTGGGATACTCAATCAAAATTGCGAAAGCAAGACATTCATAGTTTTAAGAAAAGAGAAGAGGAACAAAGTTGGTTCTAAAAATATAGATTCGATACAAAATATGAGTTCCTTGGATACAGTCCAGAAACACAGCTGTTTGATGCGATTCAGAGACATTACATTTTGACGTTTGAACAAAAATGTCATTCTATCATGTTCCTAATAGATTACCCACAGAATCTAACTTTTAAAACTTGAAAAATAAACTGGTGGGTATTTCGAGCTAATTTTTACGAAAACAGTTAAAATACAGATTATCTTGGTTATAAGCCTGCCTTTTTCCTATGACTCCTTTTCACGGAAATCTACTTCTTATGAGGACAGACTAGAGAGAGGACAGAAATTATGAAGACAGACCACCACAGTCAAGTAAATTGTGAAACAGGCCTTTCAATTCATGTTTTTTTTTACTAAAAATAGGCCTTAAGCCATTGTGAAACTACTTGCGAGAAGATTTATACTTCACGATTTCCACTAGTGAAAAGGAGTTTTATTTGGCAGAATGGGGGAAGACTTTATACAGAACTGTTAGTTTACAAGGGGAATCACATATTTAAAAATATGTGGCACACAAAAATAAATAAATAAAAACATTATAAACAAACATATTTACAAAATAATAGAAAGGAGTTTAACAGGCTCGGTTTTTACCTTAAAATTGTAGGCACAACTTTAAATGTCTATTGTCCTTGTGTTACTGACGTCGACATTCATTCATATAGTTTCATGAATTGTGATTGTGACACAAAAAATAATTAAATACATGAAACTTCAAAGTTTAAAAGAAAAAGAATGACAGCAGATTACAACTGCACAATATCAGTACAGCAGCCGTGAAAAAATATTGTGAGGAAAACTTGTACTTTTGAGGTCCTAATACTTAAAAACTACAAAAATATTGATATCATTCCAACTTGGTTCTATCATATTATTTTAGAGTTACATTATCACTATTTTTCATTTTTTGGATGAAAAGTTACTTCAATTATGTTGACTTTGTTTCTCATTCCATGAGTAAATGGAGAAATATACAATACAGGAGTAATCAGTCTTATAAAAGTAAATTCACCAAGTTAAGAATTAGATATCGAACGGAACTATTTTGATAGTGAAGAAAGGCTACAACTTTAAATGCAGGCAGCAGCAAAAGCAGCATGGAAAATTAAAACAAAAAGAAACTAGAAGGCATTTTAAGGCAATTTCAGAGAAAAAGAGAGGCTCATGAGAAATTCATTAATATTTCAGAAGGGTAGTGTATTGCATTGGAAATACCATATAATTTAAGTTTGAACTTCAATGCTCGGAAAAATTAATTTTTTAAAAGAATGACACAATACTGATCAGTAAATTTTAAACTTGCAAAAGCAAAATACAAACTTTAGCACTAAAATTGAAATTCTTGGCACAAAAGTTGTTTTGTTCGAGTGAATTTGGTTCTCTTTGTCGTTATCAATGCTTCACACCAAAAATGTAAAAATAAGACAATAACGACTACTTTTTTAATGACTGTATAACTCCAATCCAACAGCCAAATACCTTTCAGTACCTTTCTAATTGATCCCTTTGAAAATGAGAAGAGACTTCTCAAAATTTGGGCACACAGAACTAAGACACAAGATAAAACCTTCAATTGAAAACAAGCACTGGCGGAAAGATGCAGAACAAGACAAGGCAAAATTTAACAACACACAAAAAGATGCAAACCGACTCCTAAATTAGGAAACAGTAACAGCAGTTAAATGAACGTCTCATATATTTAACAAATATGTTTGAAAACAGCAATAGACAAGTTTTGTCTAGAATAAAATAACAAACCTAGCAAATTTCTGAAAAATAAGAGTAGCACAAAGTATTGCCCCATTTATTTAGCACAGACATGCATATGAAATTCACTGACCCTTGTTTAGGAGCCATCCTGTAGAAAAATATTTTTGCAACAAAAATTTAGGGGAAAAAAAGTCAGAAGCCAATTGCGAATCACCACAGATCGCTTATTGCCTGTTACAATCAAAAAACTTAACCAAACATAGGAAACACTTGAGAGTTTATCTCAGGTGATCGTCTTAACACAGTATGAATAATTAGCTGCAAATAAGAAAGCAGAGGAAATGAGAGGCCGAACACGGGAATTATAATACTTGATAAAAATTCAAACCTGGGAAATAAATAACAAAGGCTAAAAGCAAAAGTTCTTACATTATAATGAAATTGAAAAGTAGAACCATAAAAAGACAATGATGAAAAGTTTAATCTAAAGTAAAATAGTTCAACACTAAAACCTGGACTGAAAAATAAAAAAATAACAAAATGTCTTGAGAAGAAACTAAAACGCTTGTGAGAAAAAGAAAAATTAAAATACCCTCTTCAGAAAAAATAATGCTGCTCGTCAAAATGTGTTAAAAAGGAGGGAGTTGAGAGGAAATAGAAAAAAGATTTAATTAACCAATTGAAATATGGTGGGAAAATATCGAAATATATATATATGTAAAATTGAAAAATTAATTGACCTCAAATTGAATGCATGAGTCATTGCATTCTATTTTTTGGAATACTGAAATTACAGTTGCTATAATGAAAAATGCATTTCAAGAAATACCATACGGAGATGATATTTTAAAAAAGCAAAAACTCAAAAGGTAATTGAGAGAGAAAGAGAGGCTTGGATGCAGGGTTGTCACAAAATTTGGAGAAAAACCCTGCGAATGCTTAGAATCGAAAGGTATTGATAATGGCAAAAAGTTTGGTCCAATTGGAATAATGATTCAAAATGTGAAATATCCCTGCTGCATCATAGTAATAATTGTGAATCAACATCCAAGGATAAATTATTATAAGACATCAACAATCCACAGGTAAGATTATGGATAGGTACATTTTGAATTCTCATCTTGAATATTATTTTCGTTTATATGTGATTCAAATAAATTTCGGCAAAAGCATGCAGAAACGAGTAAAGAATAATGTACAATTGATAGAAAAAATATAATTGCAACAGATTGTGCACGGTATCACACAGAGTATGGACGTATCAATAATGAGGCTGCAAAAGACTAATCAACAGAACAGCAAAATAGGCAACACATGAAGGCAGACGTTTCCAAAATGCTAAGTTGGCAAATATAATGATCATAACCTTTGAAAAAAATCAATGTTGTACGAGGAAAGGTACCTAGCTATGTTGGGGCATTCGGTCGCTTAGAACAGACCTTCGTCAGCCTAGTCACAAAAACCGAAAATATAAACCCTCACACAGTCCTGCCTATCGACTATTTCAGCATGAAATTATCTCTAATCTATGGGTTAATATCAAATGTGACTCTGAAGGCAATACTGATAGCAAAATAAGCAACAAAAATTAAAGGCAATCAATGAACGCATCTAAAGAAAAATAGAAATGACAAAGCTACTTGCTTGCACGGTACAAAAATAATCCACTTTTTAGGCCAAAAAAAAAGAAATTAAAACTCTGAAGGACTAATATACTTATACTAAGCCTCCAAAATGGAAAAAAGGCAGCTCACACCAACAAATTTTGAAGTTGAACAGTGAACACTCATTAAAAGAGCAAAAGTCGCACACGAATTCTTTCACTAGTTCACTATCACTTTGTACCCCTGTCTTCTGTGTCACTAAAAGTGTTAATATTTTCATCAGGCTGATCATTGAAACTCAGTGTTATTCAATCGGACAAGACAAGATAAAAGTAGAGTGGAGTTATATCATTGGTCCATTGTCTCATTCGTTTTCCTTGTGAAGCCTTTGCCAGGGTGGATAATCGACGGATTATAGGTACCTCTTTACTGACCGTTGATCAACAACCAGTAAATTATCCAGCTTAATAAAGACAGAAGAAAGAGAAAGAGGGCAACAATTGACCAATCACAAAACTCCGTTCTACCTAGATCTAGTCTTAACCNGGGGGGGGGGGGGGGAACAAAATTTCAACAAGCAGTTTTTGGGTTGGGGAGGTTACTGGAGACCTCTGGCGAGGTTTTTTGGTAATGACAGGATAGTCTCTGTGAGCTTAATAACATCTTGCATCACTCATTCTATGCTGAGGGTAGTGAGAGTGATGACCCTGTGCTAATAACAGAGTCAACAGCCTGCAGGGTACAGTGGATGCAAGCTTTTCATAACACAATAATACTCCAAGGGTACATTTTATAGTGTCTCACATTACTGTCATTACAAGTAATCTCCATTGCTATAAAAATGTCAACTCATGCAATTAGGGATTATATTTTTATTACTGTTTCGAATAAAATGGAAAATTCCGAAGTATTAGGAGATTTTGTTTGATGTAATGATGAATTACATTATACCCCTATTTTATATGAACGATAGTAACCAATCATCTATTGATCTACAGATCATTTAGAGGTCATTTTCAAAGCAAGCAAAACCTTTGTTACTCCTATTTTACTCCGTATTACAGTGAAAGAACGAGTAAATTTTAGGAATGGCAATCTAGGACTACGTCGTCTCTAATAAATAGTGAGAAGCCTCCAGTTTAGTGGGCATAGTAAAATTAAAAATACTACTTATTTTCCGCGTAAAATACAAAATATTTTCTGACAAATAAGCTTGAATCGCTTACACAAAATAAGCATGCTCATACAAGTACCAACAAAGAATAATGATACATTCAGTGTGTTGAAATATCTCGCTATTAATGACCAATTCTTCCTTTCACTCTTTTCCACATAATGTTTTCCACAAACTGATTGCAGTGAACGCACAGGTCGTAAAAAAACCACAAACATTGGCTAGAAAACTCCAACATACGATAATTTTTTCATTGAAAATATCCGAAATTTTGAGCCAAAAATTATGTTTGTTGTGCCATCTTTTAACTTGGTTCCCTGGCATCATGTGATTTTTCTGAATGATAACACATTTGATGCGGAGTTTATAGGCAAAGAGAACCTTGACAAAAAAGATAGCCAATTCTCCGTCTGTGACCGTTTAAACGATAGGAGAAAAAAACACTTGACCAGCTTTCACTTTTTTCTTATTTTCAAGTTAAAATGTTCCAGTTAGGACTATTGTTCTCAAGTATTTCCTAGTCCTTTTAGGAGGGCCTTAAGAGAGGGTCATACCCCCTACTTGTGACAGAGAGCATATAAAAAATGTAACATTCTAGGACAATTAGCAAGCCTCTTCCACTGTTCTAGAATGGCAAGTAATCAAGGATTTGAAAAATTCATCTTTATTGGGTTGCCATTTTGAACTGGCAACAGATAATGGTCGTCTGTTCTATTCAAGAGGTTTCTTTTTTATGCTTTCTAATGATGCTTCACTAAATGAAGGCCATTGAAAAAATAGGAGAAACATTTGGTTGTGGACAACCTCGATTGAATCATTATTGAAAGGTACATAAGTACAGACTCTTTTTTGACTAAACCAGAAGATTGCATCACTCACCCTATTTAAAAAAACAGCTTGATCAAATTGAGTTTTTCAAAACTTCCAGCAGCTGCCATTTTGAAGTAGTAATAGACTTGCAATTTATTCCAAAAAATTTCTTATTAATTTCCATTAAGAAAATGTATCTCAAAAGGCAGATTTTGATTCGAAATTGTTCGTATTTGAGGGGTACGACCACATCCCTGGGTCCCTCCAGGGGGACCTGGGTTCATGACCCCCCAAAAGTTGTCTTCTAGATAGGACAAACAGCAGTCCAAACTGGAACATCTTCACTTAAAATTAAAAAAGGTAGAATGGATCAGGTTACTAAGGCATGAGCATTCTCATCTGATGGTAATTTTGTATTTTTGAATTTTATTAAACCCACTCGATAGAGGACTCAAGAAGGAGGAATAATTAACCTTGAGCAGTGTCTGCAGTCTTGTTAGCTTAAAAATTCTAAAGTCTTCTTTTCCGCAATAAATCTTACACCTATGAGGAACTTTGTCTTTACACACTGGATAGCGTTCGTTTTACAGTCATTTGTACAATATTCTACACATTTATCTAATAAAATGTATTTCAATACGGGGACACATAGGAATGCCTCTGACTGGGCGGCGAAGAGGCTTGGCTCAGACTCGAACTTGGCCTCACTTGGTGATACGTAGAGTTGCTAATTTGACTAGGTGACGGGCTTTTTGGCGCCTCGGAACCAGTTTCCCCCGGCTCTGACTGTGATGTCAAAAGTACACAGTACTTTTTACAATCAGGGGGAACAAAGGAGACCGACTTTTTGAAGTCGGTCGGTGCACATGTGCACTTCTCACTATTACTTTCTAAATTAGAGTTACTGTGACAAGGCATTTGAGATCTGACCGTGAAATATTTGTCCGGAGGTACAGGAATATCAAAATAGGTTGAGCGCCTATGAGGAAGCTTCCGATGGCACATTGGGAGTGTTTCCTTCAAGCAGGTTTGGACGTTCTCCCCATTGTATGATAGGAAACTTGAAAGAAGAGGCAAATTTACCTCTGGAACTGAGACCGAATTGTTTTGCTCATCACTAAATTGAGGACCTGTGGTTCCTGAAACCAAAATTAACGAATAAAACTCTGAATATGAATGAGGAGGTTGACCAGCAATAGCGCTAGAATTGGGTAAGCACAATTAAACTCGTACTTGACATATTTCAACTGGTAACACTACTGACGAAGTAGATTTTGTACCATTAAATCAATTAAATTTGATGAAGTTTGATCATACGTGAGCTCAGGTGTTCCTAATCACTCCATTTTTCAATCAAATTTTCATCTCACAACTTAAAGAAATATGAAAAAGGTAATCTAAACTTTAGAAAAAGGAAAATATTGCATTTAATCATGTACATGCAGTCCACGACGATATTTTTCAGTTAAAGGATCAAATTCAATTTTACTTCCGATTTGAAGGTAACAGTTGAGGGGCCTCTTCAAGAGTATGCTCTAATGTTTCCTTCTGGAGAGTTCCGAAAGAAGTAATCTTTGAGAAAATATGAGCAACATCAAGTTGATGAGGAGATGACTGATTGAGAAATTTACTATATTGATGATATCCAGACTCTATCGTAGGCTTCAACACATAAAAATTTGCTTGCGTCTTTACTCACAAAAGGTTATTGTTCATGCTAGTGATCAATATTTGATAGCGCACGATTACGTATAGTATAATAATTAGCGCAACAATCCTCCCCTTCTTCCTTGTCCACAGAAAGAAGAGATCAGTACATAATCCACATACAGGTGAAATAACTGGGTCTTGGAGTTATTAGAAGACAAAACAAAAGACTTAGAAATGATAACCTGTAAAAGGCTTAAAGCCTGAAAGGTAAGCAATTTGCATCAAGTTTCATGTAGAAGTCACATCTGTATTTTGAGCATTTAAGTAAGAGACTATGAGACTTATACAAGGGAACCTACGATAATGAGTAAAAGAGCTTCAAGCTCTGTCAAAATTTAGTATTCTATATACATAAGATATTTCATATTGAGGAGTAGAGAGATAACATCATGAGTAGGAGTAGTCAGAAGTCTTAAGTTATCTATGCCTTTCACTGTTAAAGCAAAGCTGCTGCTAGAGAGGCAAACTATTCAAAAGAGGATAACCAGAAAGACATTAACAACTCACCATTACAAATGAGATCTTCTCTGCTGCGCCTAGGAGATTCACCAGTGCCCGAATCTTTGCTACTTTGGCTTGAATGGTCTGATTTAGAATCAGCTTGAGTTGGAGCAACCGAAGAAGATTGCTGTCCTTTTGCTCGAATATAGGATATTAAACAGACCCAAATGGCTGAGGTAATGACTGCTACAAGTACTGCACTAATCATCAGGATGCCAATCACATGCTTGCTTACGAAACTTTCCCCTGAAACTGAAAAGAAACAGAAAATGATGTAAAAAATTTACGAAATACGTCCAAGATTCAATTTTGCACTAATACTGAAAAATTATGAGACTGATGGATAACATTGGACTTCATTTTGCAATTTGGAACTATAAATTCTGGTTCTTCTGGAAAAACACTTATGTGTATAGGGAAAGTAACAGCACATACGTTGTTTTTAAACCGGGCTAGAATTTATAGTTCCAAATTGCAAAATGTAGTCCCATTGAAGAGAGCACTCAAAAAGTCCTGCAAAAATCTTGCTTGAATAAATATTTTTTCAAATTTGAACCTGCAATGACAATGGATCAAGGGGCACGAACACAGAGGAAGCGCTACATTGCCTATTTCCTCTTCAAAATTTCACACAGTATATGATAATTCAATCTGCAAAGCTGAAAAAGTGACCATTGATTAAATGATTTGCACTTATTTACTAAAAATGATGAGTGTTTACAAGATTACATACAAAATGAGAAATTATCTATAAGAGTTCAATATTTTGAACTATTTTTGGAAGACTTTTATGACAAGTTTAGTTATTAGACTGAAACACCATGCAGGGTATTATGACTTGTCTTCAATTTTTTTACTGATGCAATGTCAGACAACAGCCTGAGGCAGTAGATTATTCATGAATAACAAATGTAGTTGTTTATGGTATTAGTCAAAAAATAGGACGTTGAAGTTCTGACCAAAAAATTCGCAGAATTTTTGTCAGGTTCTTAATGCATCTTAAAATGGTCCATCAAACTGAGAGAATGATGGAAACGTACATGAAAAATGATTCCTATCGATACATCTGGAATATTTTACAAGAAGATCGGCTTATTTCACAGATTTTGTAACATTTGACTATTAACACGAGATTGTAGACTTTTTGTTAATTTTGTAACCTGTTCGTTTTTACGGGGCCACACTTCACTTTTTAAGAATTATCGGATTTGTGTGCAAGAAGAGAGAGAATTTTGATCTAATTTAAAAAAGCTGAAATGCATTTAAACGTACGTGGTATAATGTAAAGCTGAGAGCGCCCTCGTTCTGAGCCAAGGGAGTTGGAGACCTCACATTCAAATATTCCTGCATCATTTTGTTCAGTGTCTCGAATGATCAGTAATTGATCATCAGCAGTCAAGAAGTAACGAGTATTTGATTGGTTAGTAATCCTTTCCCCATTTTTGCTCCAAACAAGGTTTGGTTTGGGAAGACCGGTGGCCATGCACTCAAGAACAACTGCTTCTCCAGGTTTGGCTTCTTTATCTTTCATTTTTTCAACGAAGGACGGTGGCTCTGCAAATTAAAGAAAAGAAATTACATCAGTCATATTCACTAAATACCGGTACATAATTTTTTGTGATATACTAATGCGTCATCATGACGTTCTTGTTCTGACAGAGCCACTGGCTCCTAAGAGATGTTTTTAACAAGGTTTTTCAATGATTCAGAATCTACGGTTAGAAAATTTTATTTACATGTAAGATCTCTTTACTACAGTTAGAGTAGAATTCTCGCTACTATCTAAGCGCCCTGTAATATCTTTAGTTTCGTTTACAAGTAGTTTACAGGTATCACATAAGCCATTTTGGTCGACTTCTTGACACCCCCCCTCCCTCCCATTACGCAACATAAAACCCAACCTCTCACCTCCTCTTTCGGATTTTATGCCTGGCTTGACACCCCTCCTCCTCCCTTACAAATTTTTCCAAACAATAATGCAGAAAACCTGAAAAATTGCTGGAAAAATTAAATTATTGAAAAATATTATTTTTTAAAGAGGGAGGCTTATGTAAGCCTGGGATTAACACCAGGTAAGACCCCATGCCAAGTTTGAAATCCCTTTAACCTTGAGTGGCTTGCATACTACTTAAATGGCCCGTTCAAAGTGAGGAAGTAAATTCTCAAAGTACCTGAGACATATATAGAGGCGTTGACTGCCGCTATTCCTGCTGCATTCTGGGCAGTGCAGCTGTAAACACCAGCATCAACAGCTTTGACATTGACAATGAAAAATGCATCGTCTGATGGCATGACATTCATTCGTCGCTCAGATAGGGCTGGGAATGTGCTTCCTCCATCTTTGTTCCAGCCGATCTGTGGGGCAGGAAGGCCTGCCGCAGCGCAATCCAAACGAGCAGTGGAGCCTGTCCGTACAGTGATGTTGTTTGGACTCTTAGAGAAAACTGGGAATACTGCAATGGCAAAAAAATTTAAATTTCATTAGAGATATGCAATTAAGGATACTTGAATGCAATTACAATTACTATTAGAATTGAGAGAAAATAAATAATGATGAGGTTTTGTTATCTTTATTCTTTTATAGCTTTGGTGACCAGAAATAAAATTTAAGTTTTCGAAAGACTTCAAAAGCTGATAATTTTCCTTCAATATTTCTTCTTCTTTTTTTTTGAGTTTGATGGTGTGAAGGTAGGCAAAACCACAGTTTAGTCACCTACCCTGTAGATAAGTTCTTTTATCATGGTTTCAGAGCGAAATATCTGTTATTTATCTTAATTTTAGGAGCGAAAACTTGGCTTTTACATATATCTTATCTTGGTAGTCCCAGTTGATCTATACTATTCAACCATCAAAACATAGATCTAGGACACACAAAACTGACTTGTTGCAACTACACAGCGATTCCTAGAATAATACAAGTAATCTACTAGTCTGGTAATTCAGAGGATACCACAGTGAATTACACAGAAAACTATGAAAATAGGGATATTTACACTTGCATACTTGAGCCAAGTGAAAGGAAAAAATTAAAATATTTGCTAATATATAGAGTGGAGTCTGTAATCTCTCTAAACAAATAAATCCCTTTACGCTAAATTCTGGGAATTTAACCTTAAATTCTACCCATCAATGAGTTTGGATACCTACTTATATGGCTATTACTGCAAATAGCTCTAGGTCATGTGGTTTTGCAAGGCAGATTTGACCAGAGCATTCCTTTCTTCAATTGACTCCAAGTTAATGAGCTCTCAAAAGTCAATAGACTTAAAAAGAAAAAGAAAAATTAAAACACTAAAAATACTCACCATAAATCTCTAGGCGGGCTCTCTTAGAATATGCATTACCAAAACCATTCGTAACGATGCACTGATAGTATCCGCTATGACTTGTAGATACATTTAGGAGTTTCAATTGTGAGTAATGGATGATGGAGTTGTTTTTCTCATGAACTTGACGATTTTTTGTATCCTTGTCCAAGACTACATTGTTACGTTTCCATAAGAAAACCATGGGCGAGTCAGACGATGAGGATGCTGCACATTTCAGGGTAACTTCATTACCCGCCAGCGCTTTCTGCTCTTCTGGATCTTCTACGATTTGAGGCCGAGGGACATCATTTGCAGCTGTAAAAATTTATTTATCATTAATGCATGCTTCTTCTGAAAAGGTTTCTCCTTGAAGTGCCTAGACTTTGCAAACATCAGCAAACAAAGTTTGAAAGTTTAAGCATAAAATTATTTGCCCTCGGTTCTGAGCATGGTTGAACAGGCATGTGATTGAGTATTGCCCCTAATCATTCTCAGGTCTTTAAACTCTTTCACCTCAAATTTTCTTTAAAATGACAAAAAGTAGGTAGTTATAGATATTCTAGCAAGTTATTTCAAAGTAACTTTAAGCCTTAGGTCTATTATACTCTACTATGTTATATTCTGAAGTACCTACCGGTACGGTTGGAACTTAAAATGCAAGTCTTTACTATATGATCGGTATTTTCTTGTGATAACTGGATAACTGTAGCCAATATTTTTGCAGAATAGCACTGTTTGCAAAAATAATTTTCAGAAAAATTAAGCACTGCTATTCTTAAATTGACTGTAATTTGAAGAATGAGTTGGGAACAGAGCTCTAAACACGTTTTTAACATGCAATGCAACTGGAGCATTGCAACTGGAGCATGATTCTTCTGAAACAGAAAAGCTCTATTCTCTCGTTCAAATGTCTCCGATAAATGAAAATTTCTTTATAAGATATTTTCTTTACTACATTAAATGCAATACTCACCACAAACAAACTGCTCGGGGGATAAATCAAGAATGCTTTTGCTGAATGTCAATTGAGGGTGACTGCAGACGGCAGAGATATTTTTTTTCTCTAAATTTCTACGGATAACATACTGTGGAAACCAAGCTAATGCACAGTCACAAAGCAAAGAAGTTGAATTTATATGCAATCGTTTCAAATTTGGTGAACTAGAAAAGGCATTTTCATCAATCGAGATTAGCTTGTTATTCCCAAGATCAAGTTCTACAAGAGACTCTAGCCCGATGAAAGCATTTTTGTTGATTGATGTGACAAGGTTATGAACCAAGGATAGTTTTATGAGTCGTTTCAGGCTGCTGAAGAAGCTGATTGAATCTTCAATGGTCCATGAAATGAAATTATTATTCAGCTCCCTGAAACAGTTTAAAATGATATTAGGAATGTATTAATTGAGGAGCTATTAACGGAAGCAAATTAAAACATAGAATTGAAGAACGTCCAGATATCAAGAGTAGCGATAGCCACCCCCCTGTCGAGGAAAATGACGTCCTACTAAAGTCCCGAAAGCAAAGTGGTGGCCAACACTCTTGGTCACACCTAAGTCCCTTAATCTGAAAATTGATTCGGTTCCCACTCGACTGCAGCCCAAACGACAGCACGGATTCCTACGATCTTGGTGTCTACGGACGTAACTCAATTAGGACTACAAAGAGGAAGAGTTTCATTGAGATGTATTGAGTTTTCAAAAAGTTATGAGCAATTATCAGTATACTTACAGCTGACACTTTCAACAAAAAAACCCTTGCAATCATCAGGAGAATACAGTCTGTTTAGACAATATAGCTCTCAGGGATTTAAATGGTTAAGTGGTAAGATTTACATCCAAAACGTTTGATCTTATACATCATGTTTAAGAGCAAAAAAAAGAGCTTTGAAATTAGGTGTAGAGCAATTAGAGCTTCAGTTATTTTTGTTGAGAGTTGGGGAGAGGTCTCCAAAATAGGTTTTCCCTGGACTTAAACCCCCCTACGACTACGATTTTATTCAAGCTCGAGCGCCGAGACTTGGTATGTACAATAGCCTGTGACAAAAATTTCACAAAGATTCATTTAAATCAGGAATAAAAATTACTGTCGAAGCTTCTTCGCATCTTTGCCAGCCTGGTGCAAGGTGGAATGGCAGCGAGGATGCTTGCGCCATGATTCAGGGTCATGAATCATGGTGTCTCTGGCTCCCCTCTCATTTGCTCATAAGCTGCACCCAAATTTATAGAGTGCATTAAAGACACAATTTAAATAGTTTCACCCCTGTTTTTTTTATGTTTTGCTTTCAATGGTGTCCAACTTCAGTCTTTTTGAGACATGAATTATTCAGCTAGCTCTTTCAATGCTTTAAAATTCATTATCTTTAAGCATATTTTCGTTGATGATCGGTCGAGCCAAAATGCCGCGATAATGGCGGCAAGATTGTAATCTAATTAGTAAACATTTGAGGTTGGACTCTCAAAATTGATGCTGGTCGGATGCTACCATCTTCATCAGGCCATTTCTAAACCCTACTTTTTGTAGGATTATATTTTGGCTCCAACGTTTGCAAGAATTCCACCTTCTATCCGTCTGGTGAGTCCCGGTATTTTTCCAAAAATTTATGGTCGCGTCAAAAAAAATACAAAACTGTATGATCCACCCATTTTGGTTCGACCGATCATCAACGAAAATATGTTTTTTTTCCTACTTCATTAAGTACGTCTTGGTATGGGTGCTTATAATCCTCTGCATGCCTGAATATGTATACAGCTCTTACATGTTATTCGTCCTACCCTTAATCTTAGCCTCTCTCAGCATGGATGCAGAACCAAGCCTTTGAATCTTTAAAATGATGCTTCTATTTAAAGTTTATAAATATTTTTCTCACCATGAATGTAAAGTATCGGCCTTAAGTATATCATTGAAATTTTTTTGGACCGATTAAAGCTTCTTAAAAGTGCCTCATTGACAAATGCAAAATAAAAGACTAGCAATTTCCTGGTGATCATGATATCGGGAAGTCACAGTGCCCGATTCTTATCTATCTGAAGGAGTCTCTAAAATCATCATCTTGCATTAGACTCAGACTAATCCTTCAAAGCCTCTCGTTCATTCAAAGATGGAAATTTTCCTCTATTTTGGTTGATTAGACATGGAATGATCTAATAGCTTAATTTCAATTAATGCTTGCAAAGCAACCAAAGTACACCCAAAATAAATGTACATTTCTGTTTTCTTTTGTTTGAATTTTCTAGCTGTTCCTTTTGATCAGCTTTTAAAATCAAAATACTCTCCTCTCGGATGTTTTGCTTTACTTTTTCCGAACATCAAAAGCCCCATTATAGACAGATTTCTTATTTCATTTCTTTAATATGATATATTTTTGCTTCGTTGAATTTGCCATGAACTGAGGATACTTTATATGCAACATTAATGGACTAAATGCACTGAGCACAAATGAAATTCATGTATACGTACAAAGTTTCAAGAACTGGAGTGTGATTGAAAGCAGCTTCAGCAATGAGAGTGATATGGTTGTTGTTGAGGTTCAGTTGGTTAAGCTTCCCCAGGTCTTTAAAAGTATCATTTTCGATGGCGGTAATTTCGTTGAAAGATAGATTCCTGCAAGTAGGAGAAAGTAACTATGTAAACTGCAAATAAAGAATTTTCACAAACAAGAGATCTTTTGAAAGTGATATGGCTGTTGGGAAGTAAGAGGCAAAAGCGACAGGTGCTAACGCTTGACAACGCTCTTAATTTTAGAATGACAACCTGAAAGACGAGTATAATTTTTGTTTACGGTTAAAATTATATAACTTCGCCCACCATTTTGGAGACATATTCCCTGATTCCATTTAAACAGAAAACAGATTTCTGACTCCACTCCTGACGATGAGAAAATCATGTTGTTGACATCAGATTGTGGTGCTGGATGTAAATATCATTTGCCAGAAAGATTTAAGAAATACATAGTTAACCACTGCAAAAACGTTTATGGCCAAAATTGAAAATACCACACTGATGGCACAAACAACAGTTCATTGAATCTTCCATCTGTAAATTTTTCCCATTGAACAAGTTGACATAAGTAGGCTGAAATTTTCCAGTTCTCAAAAAAAATACCGACAGTTCGAAAAAATTCAAAACTTAGATACCTACGTGCAATATCCTCATATTTTTAGAGCTTAATAATTTAGAAAATTTAAAAAGAAAAATACAGTTAATTCTTACAGATTTATTAGCGTCTGAGTTCCTTCCCAACCATCATCAATCTTGTAGATTCTGTTGTGGCTAATTGATAGACTTTGTAGGGAATCAAGACCAAATAACCAGCTCTTTGAGATGACACTGAGAGCATTTCGGTCCAAGTTCCTAAATTAAAAAAATCAAGTTAGGAACCAAATTTATTTATAATGCAACTGAAAAGAGATACATGCTACACAGTTCCCCAACAACAAAATGAAAATTTGGAAATGCTTTGAATGGCTACAGAATTTGCAACGTTAGATGATTCAGTTTGTGACGAGATTTAATCTGAACACGTAAAATTGATTAAGTAATAACTGAACCAGTGACTGAACAAATAGTATTGACAAAGAAAAACCAAACACCACAGAAAAAAAAAAAATTGATTGTATGAGCCGAATAGTTAGTGTTCTATATTAGTGAAACTATTCAGTTAATCAACATAAAATTTTGGTTGACAGGATTGATCGGTTGATTTGTGTGCGTAAGCTCTTTCGGTGGACCAAAATTCAATCACACACATGAAACGTTGGAACCTATGAACTAAAGTTATGACACCAAAGTTTTTTAAAGGCCATAAAGATGAGATAATAGAATGGAATTGAGGGGCTTCGAGGAAAAGATGCGCGAGTGCAGTTTTAGAAAAAATTGCGATATTTATGATTTGAAAAATTCGCTCCCAAATTCCAATTTTTAAACATCAAAAAGTCAGTTTGAACTTTTTTCTTGCCATAAGGATCCATGTAATATCGAAACTTCAACCACATATTTCTCGAAATGGCAAAAACTGCACTTCATTGTTCTTTGGTACTTTACTTTTGTTTTTGTTCTTGGGTATTTTTCTTTTATTACCCATGTTCATGAGAATGAGGGAAGTTCTCCACTCAGACACCAAAAGAGCCATTAGAGTCAATTTCATAAAATGGAATAACCTTCAAATACTTTCTAGGTCAAAGGTAGGAGTTGGATTTAAATAATTTTGAAGACAAGAAAATGATAAAAGCGAAAAAAACTTACAGAATTTCAAGATTTTTCAGTCCAAAGAAAGCTCCATCTGGCAAACTTTTAATCTTGTTCTGGCTCAATTTTAGGACTTTCAGATTATCTAATCCTTGAAATTTGATACCAGAGATAGAACTGATACGATTTCGCATTAACTCTCTGAAACATACAAAGTTGAAAAATTAACAACTGTTTTATTCATAAATGGTTATGGTCATAACCTGAAATCAGGGCAAAAAACAATGTGCTCGGAGCATTTTGAGCCAACGAACAACACCTCTAGAATGGCCGCGGGATAGCAAACCTGCGGAACGCGCATGGGCCGGTTTTTGAAGGCTGGAGGGGGGTGGGAGCCCAAGTATAGCTAACCTCAATCTCCATTTCTGCTGCGTCTTGCCCATAAGGATTACATGTGAAAATTTCAACCTTTGTAAACTTTCATTTCTTTAGGGTTTGCTTTCCATGTTCCTATTTTTTGAGTAAAGAAAACCATTAGAGGTGCGATTTTTATGCAATCTTTTCATTGCTATCACTTTATTCAAAAATATTCGGCATAACATGGGCAGCGTCTGACATGGGTTTAGATGGCAGCCTGCTGTGTGAGCCCAATTAAACCTAACCTATATCAACTTCAAAACGTAACGGGTCTCTAACACTGGTCAGCCATTCTAGAGGTGTAGTTCGTTGTTTTGAGCCCATCATGAAATAGTTTAATTATAAGAAAAAATTGGCTTATACTCGGAAAATTTTGATTTGCACTTCCTTTAAGGCAAGTTTCTCTTTAAGGACTTCAACATTTTGCAGGGTATCAACTTTTTAGGGACATTACATAAAAGATAGACTCAATTTATATGCATTCAAACGCTTTCATCTTATGACAGAAGGAAAGATTACTTAAAACAACACATATATTTTAAGATGAAATATTTTTATATATTTCTGTGGCTTCCAGCTATTAAAGGAGCTGATCAACAATTGGAAAAAAAAAAACATAGACGATAAGAAAGTCACTTTTCTAACCTTGTGGCATTTTGAATTTCTACATTTTTCCCTGCAATGAATACTAGCATTAACTGTAATTGCGGCAGTAACTTGAAGAGCTGACAGATTTTCTTTGAAAAAAAATAAAAGAAGAATGAACAAACGTGAAGGAAACCGACTTTCTTCAATTTTAAACTGAATTAAATGCACGATGGCAAACATACCATCTCTCAGTTAAGAAATTAATTCATCACACACCCTAAATAATTAGTCAAAGGTACTTACAAAACATTTAACTCTTTCAACTGACGGAAAGAAGTTTTGTTAAGAATTTCAAGCCTGTTCTTATTTATCTTCAATGATTTTAGTGAGGTCAAACCGTCAAAATCAGCTTCATTTATTGCTGTGATGTTATTGTCATTTAGGATTCTGAAAAAATGAAGAAAATAAAAAAAAAAATTAAACAATAAAAATCATTGTAGGAAGAAGAGAGGAATTAATTACTTGGAGATGATGAAGGCTTATTTAGAAATAAAAGAAGCCTTTACTTTCTTCAGTCTACAGTCTGCAGTTTTTCTTTCTTTTCTTTTGTTGGGAAGTTTGCTAGCCTACAAGCAAACTTTCAGCAAGTACAAACGCTCAAAAAAGAAACCCTCCGTTTGCTCCAGTCAAAGAAGAAACTACAAATTTGCTTTGCTGTCGGCTCCTGCCAGAGATTCAGTTCTTTTCTTGGTAACGGCAACAATAGTCTTACATTTTAGTTGACTGTTCAGCGGCGTGTTTTGTACAGTGCTTGACCATTTAGTAAACATCTGTTTGTCTACTGAACAAATTGCTCAAAATATCACTTGACAGCCAACAAACTAATTTAAAGGATTCAGTTATGGATCTGGGGAGGAAGAAGTTTTTACCAATCACCAAAATATTAATAAGGGCTCTTACTGGTCTCTATTGATGATATATGCATGATATAAATTTAAAAACTAGATCAGGCAATGACTGTTTGAAACAACTGTAGTAAATTAATCATGTTCATTAATCTTAGAAACAATGATCTTCCATATCACTTGTTGCCATCACTTATTTCTTGAATTTAACACATTCTCATAGCCTTCAAAATTTCATTTACTAACAATAATTCAATTTCGGTTTGATATTAATAATTACTATTCATCATGAATAAAATCATGCACTGTCAATGAACAATCTGCAAGAAAGTGCTTACAAAGTTTTGAGCGCCGGGAATTTGTCAAGAGAAAGGAGTCCGACATTTTGAATTTTGTTCTTCGATCTAAGAAAAAAAAGAAACAAAGCAATAAAATTAGTGGTGGTCAAAAAGGCTTGACAAGATAATACAGTATACCTCGGATTATCCAAACCTCGGTTTATCCGAACTCCGGATTATTCAAACCGATTTTTGGGAGGAAAATTTTTTTTTTACGCATTTTTTGCACTTTCTCTTAGCCGCCAGAGCAAGACCATTTTCATAACCCCTTTCAACTCTCCAAGTGTTTGTTTTCGGAACACAGATCTACTCGGATTTCCCTTGTACACCTGCCGATCGCTCTATCTCTCAGCGGAGTTCTAATATGTTGTATAAAATTAATGAATATTAATGGCCTCCGGATTATCCGAACCAGCCGACCGCCACATTAGTTCAGATAATCTGAGGTATAGTGTATTCTTGTCCTTCATGTGGAAGTTATAAAAAGTATTTCCTAGCTAAAGTAAACATTAACCATATTTGCAGACTGGCCTATCAGTAAATGAAATAGATCTGTGTGAACCTCTGGCCTGCAGTTTTCATCAATTCCTGACGGCGCACAGTGGATCGAGTCAATGGGAGAGGTTGGACATGAAATTTATGACTAAAACTACAAATTATGATGTATATTCCGTCACATTTTTAATTTCAAGGGGTACCTCTAGAAGAAAATTCCACGAAAAAACCAATGAAGCCACATTCGGGACCTCAAAACTCTGTATAAACGAAGTTATGAGTTTTTAAAGTTTCCAAATTTTGTCCAAACTCTTACATTGACTCAATCCACTGTGCGGCGTCAGATGCCAGCCCCTGACAAAGCCCTTAATATTACACTAGGCACATTAGGCACTTGTGAGTGACACGTGAATATTGCTGCAGAATAAAACTTCGTTTTTTCTGCAAATTATGATCTCAAAGCTCTCTAAAACCTCTCAGAAGCAAGCTTTGTTTCTGAGAGGTACTAGATTCTACAGTTCTACTTCAAGTTGTTTTGTGATTTCTGACTCCAGTTCAAAATAGAGCCAGCCAGGATTTAGGGACATATCTGGTGCTGGCATCTGACAGAGCACTTGTCCCATCCACAGTTGTTCGCTAAACAGCATCCATGGCCATGGCACCACACAGTTAAAACATTTTAGATATTTTATGAATTGTTACTTTTTCTTCGGAAGTGTTTGAACAAAAAATTCCCATGGGACTTTTAGGAGCCAATTTGCCTATTTTTGGAAATAAACAAGTTGAGAATGCTTTAATATAAAAATGAGATAGATTTGAAAGAGCGGGAAAAGTGGAAGCTCAAGTTTTCTTCTTCTTTCTCTTAATCTTTCTTCAAAAACTTGAAAGGAACAAAAAAGTACTATCAGCTTCAGACTTGAGTGCAAGATAAACTACAGATATAATGAAGAAATTACAATTGGCATACACTTTAGACACCTTCATGACCACTTGAACCTACTTATGACATTATAGTAGAACAGATATGACAGAGTAGGCTGTCTCAGCCTGTAACTCAAGTAGGAAAGGACTGTTGAGAGTTATCAGTGATAAGTATAACTTAGACACTTTCTGTACTATCAAAAAAGGCCATAGCACTTCGAGGAGATCAAACTAAGAATAGGCATAAGGAAATTGATTGAGGATCTCAGATAATTATTTGGAGCAAGTAAGCTGGGAAATAAAAATTATTGCAATAGCCTCCCAATTTTAATTACTCAATACAGATGCTCCTTTATTGGGGGGGGGGGGAGTGTCAAACTTTTGAATGACACTGTTGAGCCTACTGGCAGTAAAAATTCGTTAATCCATCCTCGAAATTGAAAAAAAGAAGAAAGAAAAAAAGATTACAAGGACATAGCCTGTATTCAAAATACTGGGAGACTGAAACATAAGTAGAGCCTTTTATACCATTTCTTATCATCTGATCTCTACAATAAGACGGGGCTTTTTAATGGTTTCTTAAGCAAAGGACCACTAAGTTCTGGTGAATCTTGGGCCTCTTTTAACACTTGAGCATTCGAGAAGATTTGTACCTCTGTTGTACCCAGCAGTGCCTCTAAACATGTGATCAAGGACTACAAAAGCACCCTTTGCCAATCATCTAACTCAGTCTTGAAGTTAAAAATTCGAGTATATAACTTTGGCAAAGCAAACAAGAGATTTATATCTTCGGGAAACAAAATATTCTTGGGAAAAAAAAATTATTCACTCTGTTTTATAGCTTAGCTAAAAATCGGAAGTGGCATGGAGCTAGGTCGTCTCAAAAATACAAAAATATGGTGATGAAAAGATGAAATTAAAACAAACAAAAATATAAATACTTACACAATGAGGGATATAAGAGAACCAGAGATGTTCATGGGAGGAATACTTGTAAGAAGATTTTTGTTCAGCTTCCTGAAAAAACAAAAAAATATTTCGTTAGATCTATCTTCACAGAGAAGAGATGATTTTATCTTAAATTGATCAGATCTCTGTTGGTGGATTTCTTACAGAGATCGCAGATGGAGTAACAATCTATCAGGGAAGAATAGTTCATATGATCTGACACAAGATCTCACACGTGTTCATAAGGATTTAGTGAATCTGCTGGCCATGACATTATTATTACCAGCCACATGTGAATTCTCAGCTTAATTAAAAAATCATGTTCTACTTACATAGAATTTGCTTTTTGAGGGTTGAGACCAAAATAAAGTCTAGTTTATATCAAAGCTCATCAGTGGTGCCAACTGAATGCTTGCATACACTAACTTTTCATGTAGCGCTCTGCTTTGAGGCTAATCAGAGATTGAAATTTACCTCCGCATATGATAGGCAAGCTGTAACAGCAGGCCTTTGTTGATTGAGTAGTTTCACCAAAATTGGAGAAATTTGCTGAAGCCTGCTACAGCTTGTATCTGCCTATGTTCATTTTTCCACTTTTCATACATTACAGGGACTAGGTTCCCAGATTACTGCTATAAATTTGATACCAATGGGGAAAGGTCAATCATGAGCGGGTCGTAGAATAGGTGGGCTACCGAGAGATACCTAGGCGTCAGAGCTATCTGCCTCTCGTGGCTTGCGAAGATTCACAACCTACGGGATCGGGATATTTCGATTATCAAACTAATTATGTAATGTAGCCACATTAGGAATTTTCTGCCATGAATGTACTAGACAAGGTTTGGAAACTAAATATGATTGACAATTCCAGCTTGTGTAAATGCAGGAAAGAAAATCGTTCATTTAAAGTTTTGATCCATCCTGGTGGTATAAATGTCACAAATAAGTTCGCTATATATCAATTTTCTCCTGGCAATAACATCAAAGTTGAAGTATTCCCACAAACAAAGAGCAGGGGCTAACGAATCCTTAACTCAAGCAACCTGATTATTGAAACTATGACAGCAAGACAAAATAAGACTTAGCCCTGTCTTAACCATGCAACACATCGCATTCTACTGTCTTATGGGGCTGCTTTCACCTTTCAATAATCTGCCTGCAGACAGCCTTAAACTTATATTAGCTTAGCCTGTTGGTAAGCTTAGATAGCAGTCACATCAGTTAAGATAGAGTCCACATCAAATAAGTTCACGCACTTCTAAACTGCGGCAGATGATAGTCTGACATCTTTTATACAAGTAAAGTAAATGCAAGAAGCATGATGGCAGATTTTCTGTGGCAGTCTAAAAGTGCGTGAACTTACTTGGCGTGGATTCTATCTTGAAATGCATGATAGAGAAAATTTACTTTTCAGCTCAGACTGTTAAATTGTTCCAAAAATAACTAATTAAATTCAGATTAAAATAAAATGAAGGCTTGTTCTTTGGCTTGCTGAGTAAACAAAAGTGTTTTCGCTTCAAATAAAGTCATTGCGTAAATAGGTAATGGATAAACAGATAATCGTTCTAGACTTACAATATTTTGGTCCATTTCGGCAGATCAGTTGGCACGGAGGTTAATCGATGATCGGAGCAATCCACAGTATCACCCAAAGATTCACATTCGGGAATTCTCGTTTTCGTTTGAGGTGAAGATTCAACAAAAAAACTAAAGCAAAGGTAGATCAATACAGAAATAGTCAGTCCATTCACTTCCATAATAAGGCACTAAAGGTTGCTAGGTGCATCTACATAGCTGTTTTTGAGGGAAGCTGAGGGAACCATTCTCAGAGAATTGAGACACGACAAATCAACTAATTTTGATTCGAGGGAGGTCGTTCAGGCCCATTACTAAAGTTCGATCGAGTATTCATAACGAAAGAGGATGCTGTGGACACTTAATATTGCGATCACCGAACACTTGGCTCATAACCTCCATTGAACACTTCAAATCGGGACTTGTATTATCTTGAAATCACAAGCTAACACCTGGTACGCTGGCAAATCCGATAGTTAATAGGAAACACTTTCAACCTCAAAGAACAGCCGTGAGGCTTGAAACACGAAATTAGTCGAAAAAGTTGAAAACACAAACATTTGGCCGTCAAATTCTGATCTTCACACGGACAAATACTTCACACATCGCGAGAACGCCACCAAAACTGAGAGAAACGAACGAAGGTGGCGGAGAGGAGAGGGAAGCGAGCCAATGAGAGCCGAGAGATCCACCATCCTCAGTTCCTCGGTGAAGATTTGGAAGGGGTCAAGAAGAGAGGAAGGGTGGAAACAGAAGGATCAGATTTGAAATCCTGCTCCAAGGTCAAAGACCAGTGTGCGGAGGATTATAAATGAGCGTTCAGACAGCGTTTACGACCACTTTTCATATTAATCGTTCGCACTTAGAGCCTGTTCCCAACGCTGAAGGTGTTAAAAAGAAACAGGTATGCCGCCGCCGCGCACAGGAGGGAGCGGGTGAAGAGAGGGAGGGATAGCGGGGGTTATCCTGTGCCTCTCCAGCCGGGAAAGACTGGATGTTGCCCCGGCCGAGGCTGGGTTGAGGAGTGAAGATCTCAAGAAAATTGAACCCGGCACACCATGCCCGGATGAACCGGATGAATATGGGCAGCCGACGGCGCGGCAGTCCCACACGCGAAGTCATTATTACTCACCTCATTTCCCATTACATTCCCAATCAATCATGCACTTTAATTTTCGAGAGTTAACGTTCGGGACTTGGGAGATTATCATTTTGACTTCATTTCTTTTTTTCTGCATCATCGCAAGCCACGGAGCATAAATTATGTCCGTAGTTCGGGCAATCGGAGATATTTCAGTGCTGTAATTCGTGAAATTTGGTCGGCGCGGCACGTTAAATTATGATTTTTTTAATCCTCCTGTAAAAGAAAAGAAAAAAAGAAAAAAAAAATTGTTCCGACGCTCCAGGTACCTACTCGCTCTCAACCTTGAAGGAGCAAAAAGAAATAAGAGGACATGAATGAAAATGCTGCAGACCCTGGTAAAAATTGGCGATAAGAGCTGCGTTTCAAAATACCATAGGAATTCTTATAGCCGGCTAAAGAAGGCTACAGAAAATCATATAGCTGGCTGTAGAATGGGGAGAAAATCATACGGTCGGGCTATACGAAGCGATAAAAAATTATGCAGCCTTTACACTTCATCGCCTGGCTGTTGCTTTTTCGCCATCGATTATAAAAGGCTATAAGAAATTGTGTAGAAATTCGTGTGCTTTGGAAATCAGTAAGTTTGATACGGAACCACCTTAATATTTACAAAACACACGTTATATTTTCCTTCAATACATATTTTTTTTTTATCAATTAAAACGAGAATAATCCCTACAGGATGTGCAAACTCCGCTAGATTACTTAAATATTAGAGCCTAACACAAAGCGGAGCGGCGACGTACTGGCGCCTACAAACCTAACAGGGATACTTCACGCATTGCGCAACGCGTGCAGTATCCCTGTTAGGTTTGTAGGCGCCAATGCGCGTTTCGCGCTGGCTGCCCGCCTGCCGCACCGCAGCGTGCCACGGCGCTTGAAGCAACTATTTCACACCAGAGGTATTGCACAGTATCATACGAAACTGAAGGCGCTCCAATATATTAGGAATGGCAGGCATCCATCAAAAGTACGGAGCTTTCCTCGCAAAAAAAAATCAAGATACTACGGCACAAAAAGAGAGTAGCGGTCCAAAAACTTACTAAGTCCTAGCATCCGTAATTAGTGACGTTTAGCAGACTCTTTATCGCCTGGCTGTGAGTTGCTTAATCGCCATCGGCTATAAAAGGCTATAAGAAATTGTGTAGCCGACTATAGAAGCTATTGGAATCATCTTGGAATCTTTACTCTTCCAATCTATTGGAATCCTACGTTCTTACAGCCGGCCGTAGGTCTATGGTATTTTGGAACACAGATTCTACTGCCAATTTTTACAAGGGGAGCTTTTCTTCCGTTCCATAGATCTTTGTAAAGATGTGAAAGTTAGTAGGTACAGCCAGAGTTCAAAGCGTTAGCATTGCAAAATTGCCATTTTAATTGTTGAAAACACGTTTCTTTTGAGATTGTTGAAATACTCCGAGGAATTAAAATCTCGAGTGCACGCGACGCGACGTTTTCACTCAACGCTGCAGTATTGAGGACGATGATATCGGTAATAACGCCTTCTACAGATACAACTATTCGTGCTCTTTGGACATCCGTGTTGCGTGCTATAAGTTGAAGGCGCTCCTGTTCTTTTAGCCAGTGGGCGTGAGATAGGATATCCTTTATTATTATGTAAAAATGGTGCATATATAATTATCCAAATATTCCTAATTCATTCTCTAATGAAGTTTGTGCTAGAAAATTCGGAAACAGTCAATTTCATACGGTAGAATAACAAGTGAACGCTCGCGATCTTAAGTAAGATAGGTAAAATCTGCCTGTTTGAATCTGTAAATAAACTACCTGCAGCTTATGCATTTTTCTGATGGAGAAAATTCCTCTGCCGATAAAAAGTCAGAAACAGAATACTCGACTGTTTGGATGGAGGAGGAATGCGAGTGTTTCAGCATGTAAACAAAGTGCGAGCTATGTCTTAGTCCGCAAAATTTTCTCAGAATGACCCCAATCCCGATCAGCTTCTGATAGAGCACGTCTGCGTCCATCACTGAACGTCACGTCTCGGTGTGCACCAATGACCCCCCCCCCCCCCCCCCNTCCGGTTTTAGTGACTTTTCCGAGGGAAATACACTATTGCATTTTTTTTTCCGTTCAATATAGCTAAGATGAATTTGCACGCAATTTTTTTTTGCTTCATCTGAGAGTGCTTAGAGAGCTGATTTCGCAGTATTTTTATGATTTCTTTTTCCTTTTATGGAATGTAGTACCTATTAATCGTCAACTTCCGCCCGCAGTACCTACCTATCACAAGCGCCATGCGACGTTTAAAAATTTCCGCCGCCATTTTTTTTTTTTTTACAGAGAAATGGTTCCACCAAACTGCCCGAAAATTTCACTGAATTTTCTCTGTGCTGCCGATAAAATTCAGTGAAATTTTCAAACAGATTCAACCGAAGATTTCCCTGTGAAAAAATAAAATGGCGTCGGAAATTTTGAAATGCCGCATGGCGCTTGTGAAACTTTGGCCGCAAGGTGAGGAAATATAGATTCAAAAGTGAGAAAATAAACCGCCTAGTGACGTCATCTGGCGGCATTTTCCACGTAGACACATGTGTTTTAGCCGATTAGATAATTTTTTCATAGTTCGTTAAATAAAAGTTTATTATAAACTGTACAGTTTATGAACCAATTTAGGATATTCTGGTGTTTAGTTAGCCCAGTAGTTTCCATTTAAACACGAAATTTATCAAATCTCAGACACTTGCAAATTTTCCATCGCGTGCCGATTTTATAAATGTACCCCGATTTTACAAATATGTTTAATAAATGTATGAGTGTTGTAAATGTATAATGAATGATAGTTCTGGTCTCGGAATCAGTCCACGAGGAATCGATGAATCAAGGGAGAGTTTTGACGCCACGCTGCCGAAGTTGCCTCGATGAACAAAAGTACAGGTGGGTCACCGATCGAGACTCGAGAGGGTGCATTCATAAAAGACGGTTGAGAATTACAGACGTAAATAATATCGGATAGCCTTTCGGATCGAGAGCGGGGGTGTGCGGGGGTATCGCATAAAAGCGGGTAGGTATATTTTTGTGAGAGACGGGATCTTCGCCGGACTTACGCAGGGTTGCCAGAGTTCCGGGATTCCCAGGCGTTGCCCCTGTTGAAGAGGACGAGGCTTTTAAGTGCACAGTTTGGCATGCCTGGTCCATTGTCACACGCAGCGCGAGAGGGGTCCACAGCCGTCCCCGGCCCGCCTCGCCACGAATTCCTCGTTATTTTGTTCCCTTCAGAATTTGAATGTGAAAAACATATTTTACAGTATTTGCGATGTATTGACACCCAGCGAGGTATTAGCTGTCGGGCAGTTTCCCCGCGTGGTAATAACTGACCTGCAAGAACGCTAGGCACTCGCAGAATTATGGGTGCAGGTGGGAAGGTGTGGGAAGTTGACGGAAAAACTGTCTTGGTATTTTGCAGATTTGATAGACCCGGAGTAGTGAGTAGCGCAAGCAAGGATAACGCACTGAAAAAAAAAAATCTCGGTGTATTTACTAAGAATAGGGTAAAATTACCACGAATTCAGGGTTCTATTTGATCCCAATTTTTTCTTGATAAAATTACCATTTATGGAATCGGTAATTTTACCGAGAAATCTCGGTAAAATTATTGAACTTTCTCGGTAATTTTCCTGGATCTTGGTAGGTAAAAACGCCAATATTTTTTACCGACTGTGGTAGAATTAGGTACCGAGATAAAATGGCAAAGTTACCGGGAATTGATTACCAATAAAAGTGGTATTCTTACCTGAAAAAAAAAAAAACAGTAAAAATACAGGTTTTTAGGTAAGCTTACCAGTCTGTCTAGGCAAAATTACCAATAATTGGTAAAAAAAAGTGCGATGGTAAAGGTACCAACGGGCCTTGGTAAAAACGCCGAGAATTTTTTTTTCAGTGCGTTGAACGGTAACAGCGATTAAATGCGATTAAATTGAATTTTTCTTCTCCTTGAAATTCAAACGTAGAACTGGAAGAGTAAGTGTCTTGGATCCAGCGTCCAGGCTTTTAAAAAATTTGACAAATCGACGGTATGAGTCGGCAATCACATAACTCGGTTTGCGACGTCGCAGACTTCCTGTCGTTCTTTATTTTTTAAACGGCGAAAACTACTCAACGGCAATTCTTTAAAGCTGCCGTGATTTTTCTTCTCTGCGAGAAGAGAATTCCGCATAAACTTCAAGAAATGATTTCGATGTGTTCTCCTTTAAAAAAATAACATAGGGACGGAGATTTTCAGACATCGCAAACGAGATATGCGATTGCGGACTTACACCGACGAAATACTCTTGATTCAATCGGATATTTTCGCTTAAATCAAAAGGGAATCCGCTTAAGGTAAGATGCATGGTCATCAGTGTTCTGCCTTCCTTGGGCGCCATGCGCCAAATGCGCCGTAAAATTGGGCCTGGGCGCCTGAAAATTGGGGGGGGGGGGGGCTGGGCCATTGTGGCGCCTAAAAAATTTGACAGATTGAACTCGCAATCGGGAAGCAGCGGTTGGGATGAAGCGCCCTCCATGCGCACCTTTCGCAGCATCGCCATGACCCGTAGGTATGCAAAAATTTAATTTGGCGCCTAAAAAATAATAGATGGCTCCCAAAAATTGGGCTTTCCGGCCAAGGTGGCTCCTAAAATTTTACGGGAAGGTAGTGCACAGATGGCCATCGATGTAAGCAAAACTCCGATTGCATCGAAAGTATATTTCTTGTCAAATTTGTAAGAGTCTGGACTCTGGATCAAAGAGACTTACTCTCCTCGGTGAAGGTCCGTAGTGCCAATTATAAAGATCAATAAAACGGGCTCCGTGTTTCAAAAAAGACGAAATATCTGTATTGAAAAGAAACTGCAATTCTTTCCAATTTCAGTGCAATACATTTTTTGAAAAGAATAGCCCCTGCAATCAGTAGAGGACTAGAGGGGCAACGTACACAACATTCCGTCGCAGTGACATTGGTTAAACTACTTTTAGCAGCAAGGACTATTAGACTATTTTTGACAAATGTAAAAAAGCATCTATCTGGACAAGGAAACTGATAGATCTTGTATTTACTGTTTACAAAATTAACCAAATACAGCATTTCCTCGTCGCAAAATGCAGTAGAAAAACTATGCAATCGCGATTCATTGCAACCTTTGCTGTATACTTCGATCGCAGTTCACACAAATGGCCATGAGAGGCGTTTCGATTTTTGATGGCGTATCCTAAATTTGATTATTCATTTTTTAAAGTTAGTGGATTAATTGTTTGTACAACACTTACAATGCTCTTCGACGCGCGCTGCTTCTTCGTCACACGGAATAAATTGCGCCTGCCGCCGAGAACTGTTCACTACATAAGAGTATTGTATTTTGCACATCAAGCATTTGAAGGCGCAACCAGTTTTAGAATACCGCGTCGAACTTGATGATCACGCGACTTATTGTTAGACCAGACCTATAGAATCAGTTTTAGAGGGTTTGTTAATGTTGATCAACGAAACATCTAAAGCCCCCTCCTACCCAAAATGGCACGGCCTGAGTGCCTATATTTCATGTGAGAAGATCGCACTGCAGACCTCTCAGAGGAGATTATTCCATATCATCGATCAGGGTGTTTTTCTGGTCTAATTTCGAATAATGGATCGGCCACCTAGTCTGAGCATAGGCTTGCTGAGTTCGCTGGCTTCGCCTGGAGCGGAGGGCATCTATGGCTGTCGATGGTGGAAGTCGAGAAATTCAAACTTATCATTACTTATCTCTGACTGCAACATAGAAATCGCTATTCATCCTTTACTTTCTTTAAGCAAAAAAGGAAAAAAGAAGGTTAAAAAAACCAAACTATTGATGGATTTTCTTGACATTTTTTAAATTTAGTCTCTATTTATGCAAAAAAATTTACAAAAAATGAGAAGAAGATATGCCGAATACAATAATAAGAATCCGCATTGACTAGGGAAAGTGCGTGACCACCATGATTTCCCCGCTCTTTTTTTCAGCCAATCAGACACCCGACGACCTTTTTTTCATATCTCATGGAAAATAACATGGGAAATCGAAACCACATATCAATGGTGAAAGTGCAGAAGTGCGTATCTCGATTTTTGACAGTTTTGAGTTAGCTGCATAAACGTGTAGTTGAAGATATCGTCTATCAGCCAGCAAGAGATTATAATCGAAAAAAATCGGGAAGTCACCTAAAACCGTAGAACTTTTTTCACGTATTTATCTCCTTTTCTAATTCCGTCAATTTTTCGGCGAAAAACATGTTCACGACTGACTTCTTGGGGATTTGGCGTTTCTATTGATGTTAGCGTTCCACTTATGTACTCCAAGAAACAACAAAGATCCTGATTTTTTCAATATATTATCTTCTAGGTACTCCGACAAATGAAACAGAAGAATGTGAACTATGCAAAACGATAATCCGGGTATCGGAACTAATAAGCCGTTTTGAAAACGCCTTCAAATGCGGCGTGATACCTCACGAATTCCGGAGACATGCACGCCGGCCTTTTCGGTTTCCGTTAACATTTTTGCAGTCATGATTGCGCTCAAGTGCGCTCAGCTAGAATTGTATTTAGCAAATGGGTGGTTTTTATGGCAGGATTATAATTAAACAAGTGGTTAGAAATGGAAACAAAATTATTTGAACTATGCAAAACGATTATTCCGATAACGGAATTTGGCTGTTTTGAAAACGCCTTCATATGCGGCGATATACCTCACGCATTCCGGTGAGTTCAAATATTTGTATCATTGCGCCGTAAGAATGTGACGGAAGATTTAAATGGAAATAGCCCCCCTGCACGCTGGAGACGTGTCGATTTCCTTTGACATTTTTGCAGTGGTGAATGCATAGCTGGAGTGCGCTCCAGCGGCAGCTAGTATTGTATCTAGCAAATGGGTGGTTTTTCTACGAGGATTAAAAATAAACGAGTGGTACGGAATATAACAAAAGAAAATGAAGTATGTAAAACATAATAAGTTGATTCTGGGCCTCTTCTGGGGGCCCTAGTTCTTTTGGGCCCTAAGCCCTCCACAGAAGCGATCTGTTCTGTTCACTTTCAGTATGACTAGCTATGTTTATGCGAGCCTCTTAACCTAACTTCAATCGAAACCTGAGTTTGAAACCAAGGTTCAAATCACGGCATAAACTATACGGAACTAACGAAATGTAGGTTTCCGAAATTTGTGTTTGAAACCTTATTTTACACTAAAGACTAGGTTTTCGCACTCCGCATAAACGAACCGGAGGTTGAAATTAGTTGAAATTCGACTTCAAGTGCGATTTTCAGGTGCGCGATCGGCAATATGGCGGATTTATTATCATACCGTTCGTAAACAACTGGTGCTTATCCCACGATTTAGCTTTAATTTTGCCAATATTCAACATATTTTACAACCATAATTTTACTATAATTGTTTCTGAAGCACTTTTGCGTGATTCTTTCAGTTATATGTGGCTTATTTAGCATTATTTAGCTAAACGTAGGACGTTATTTTCTAGTGAAGGTGTTTAGTGTCAGATGGAATCCAGGCTTATTACTGCTTTTTCAGATTATTCTTGCAACTCTAATCAACATTTTATGACTACAGAAGCAAAGCAAGCAAAGAGCTTTACAGGCTACAATTGAGTACCTAATAGCCTTATCTACCAGTTCATCATCTGCGGAGAACTTTTTTACCGTATCCACACGATTTGCCTAGGATTTAAAGATAAGGCACCCTGCTTCCCTTTAATTAGTGCACCGAATTTTTTCATTTCAATCTACCGATTAAATCTAAAATCTGATCCAATCAGAGCTGCATAGCTCTTGAATTTGTGTGTTATCCGTGTATCTATTTCCTGGTTGTCCTACTGGAAGTGTGACTCCAGCCACAACCGTGACCTGCTGACTTATTTCTTTGATCCAATCTCTAGTAAATGATGACTCAAATTCTGAAGCCGTCATTTATTGAAACTAGTTCAAAGTTATTGCTCCAAAGTATCGTCACTCTTCTCATACTGATGCAGAAGGAAGGAGATTCTTCGGTGAGTGCTCTGTGATCCAAGATTTTCAATTTGAGATAAGAATAAGGTTTTTAGTGAGGCGTGTAACAATTTTTGGTCGTTGAACCACTTGTCATAATTGAGCTTTGGCGTTAGAGGTGCATCAACTGTGGAAAGTGGCTCTGCCCGTGCAAAAATATCTTGTGACAGCAGTGAATGTTAGTAAATGCGCTTTACAGATAGACTGAGAGCTCCAGATTCCAATCTACCTGAATAATTAAATTCAGAAGGATTTTTGAATTGAGTTCATATCGAATCTCAGTGGGAGAATAATATACAGTGTAAGCGAAAGAATATCAATGGTAAGGATGGGTTGGTGTCTTAGGTTAGTGAAATGCAATGGCAGGTTCTGAAATCTTGTTTTTCAGTTGCTCTTTACATGAGTCACCTTTGAAAATCAAGTTTAAGAAAAACACACATAGGTATAGGCAAACAGTGGTAGGTAGCTTGCCTATTTTCTTCCTGTCTTGCTCATGGACTCGGAGAGCAGTCGGAAAGAGGGGTGAGAAACAGGATTTCAGCGCGTGTCTCTGGGAATGTGGAAATTCAAAATTTGTGAAGCGTCACCAGTTTGTTGAGATTGTCACCGTCCGTTACCTCAAGAGGATTTAGACGCTTCTGCTTCAGCGATACATTGTTGACCTATCAATATCTGCTTATTTTGATCATATCTTGAAGGAGGAATTCCCATAAGTATATCCCGATTCTTTATTTGTTTCACTACAATAATAGCAGACATACAATCTTTACAACAGCATGGAGTGAAGGTGCGGTGCTTTACTGGATTAGCACTCCTACACTTTCAATGCCCATATCTACCTATTGTAAGATCATTAGAAGCTCAATCAACAACATGATGAATTTCTGCGCCTGCCATAATTATTTTTAACATCACTAAAATTACCTATGGCAACTTTTCTGAACTCAGAATATAAGCTCGAGCATGATTTGGAGGGTTGTTGAGATTAGGTATTCATTCAATTTTAAAGATGAACGTAAAATGATTAAACATATACTGTCATTTTTCCAACTGTTGCTCAGAAAGTCAGTAAAGGCTTTTCTAGTGAAGATGAAGCCTCCGCTTATATATTGTGGAAAAATTGAACATACACAGGATAAAAGAGTAATACCTAATAATTTATTGAATCAATTCATAGTGGAAAAATGAAGTATAGCTTGTGAAAATGGCGCCAACATGAAATTCAAGTTCAATCGAAAATATGCGCATAAACAGCGCCAAAATCGGAAAGTTTGATTTCCCGCGAAAGTCGGGTTACAGCGCCCGCATAAACCCGACGGAGAAAACTTGCATTACAAACTCGGGTTTCGTGAAACCCCGGTTTCGAGCCTCGCATAAACGTAGCTACTTTCAGTAGATAGAACCGGAAACGCAATTTTTGAACCGGAAACAGGGGGGAGTGACGTAGGAACGCTTGCTTGAATCAACTGGAACGAATAGGAATATGGAAGGCGAAACGTGGACGAAGTGGCGAGGCGAGCTGAGCCAATTTTGATCAGATCAGGTAGCTCAATTCTGCGACAAATCAGAGTTTGTACTTTCGTTTTTAATGTAATTAAGTGTTTAAATCAAAAACTTAATCACGCGCTGCAATTCAATACATGTCGTGACTCTCTTTGGATCGTACTAACTTCAGGTGAATTTGTTTGACTTCATTCACTTCGCGACTGAAAATGTGGTCTGGAACCTCATTGAGCAAAGAAGCATCATTTTGCCAGTTATAATTAAGCATATTTTTAATAAGAGTTTTTCACAGTACTTTCGTTACTAACAATTATTCATTGTGTGACCGCAGCAAGTATTTCGCTCTTCTAAAATTTCCATCTTCTTTGTATTTCTCCCATCTTGTGTCCAAGGAGCAATGTTTGAAAACATGTTTGGAGACTGATAGTATTGCAGAGCTAACATTCAAATTATTCATTCTTGACTTCAAACTCCTCTTCTTTCGGTTTTGGTCTGTATCTCCCTTTATATAGTTGCAGCTCTAAACTCTTGTGATACAATGCATGGATTTGTTGATCAGCAATAGTTGATGAATCGCCCAGTGTGAGGTTCTGGCTTTCTCCTCCTATCACATGTTGTTAACTCCTAATCATATCATTTCTACAATGTTTTGCAATATTTTGTCTCCTTAATTTTACTATTGCACCTATGAGAGGATCAAATGTAAAGAACCTAATTGTGCTTGCCATGGAAAAGTTTCCTCCCGGAGACCATGTGCTAGGCTGCGTGGAACCTCGTCCAGTGCGGTAGTTTCGTCCTGTCATCTTTCTTTTGCACTGATGTTTGTATCTCTTTTACCTGTGTGGACTGCTACGCTTCTTAACTCACTTTTCACTGTCATGCACCGTTATGAATTTCTGCTCCATGCCTACTATATCACGATTCTACCACAAGTGATTCTATTGTAAGATATTGATTAGATGCAGTTTCCCGGTCTTGGATGAACATTAATTTCCAGTTCAATTCTCACTGTTGAACAGATACTATCTCTCTAACTGGTAATGCTTGGCATTTCAGTTCTTCTCACCTCACTTATTTCTTCTGACTGATCGGAAACTGCATTTCCAATTTATATTTATTCAAATTATTAAATTTCTGCAATATCCGGGCACATCTTGGCTTTGACAAAGGAGTTCTCAACGTATACCTTAATTACCAGTTTAAGAGCGGAACTAGAAGTGGGGAAGACGAAGTTATTTTTGAAATCCTGCACCTTGAGGGCGGTAAGAGACAAAGCTGCACGTCACCGATTTCAATTCGATCAATCACCATTGATCCATTTCAATAACTTCATACCGCTTTTGGACCGCATTAGGGATGTCGATACTCAGGGAAGTATCAATACTCGGTATCGATACTGGTATCGACTCTAAGCATCGATACCGGTATCGAGCATCGAGCTGAAGTATCGATACTTATGAGGTATCGATACCATCGATACTATTTCTGAATTATGCCGTGATTCTGAGTGTGCGAATGTCTGTCGGCCGTTAAATTCCGCCAGATTTACGCCTCTCTCGAAAAAGCCCTGTTCGCGTCCTTAGTCAACTATTTTGAGCCCGCAACTACAGTTATCGAACTGAGCTTTTAACATTTTTATTGAAGTATAATCATCTTGAGCAACTTGATTACTCCGTCGTTTGTCACAGTGCATCATGAAGGTGAAATAGTGGGGAAAGAATTTTTTAAAAAAGAAAAAGAGGCCTTCTTCATGGCCAAATCAGATTAAGTATCGATACCGTCGATACCGGGGTCTTGGCATCGATACTGCATGGTATCGATATCGTGGAGTATCGATGCCGAGTATCGTTAAGTATCGATCGAAAGTATCGATACTTTGCAAGTATCGGATAAGTATCGACATCCCTAGACCGCATGTAACCAATGGAACGCATCACTTTTTTATCCCGTTCCACTAACGCGTTCTAGTGCGTTCCATGTGTTCCAGTGGAACGCTTGGACCACTCATCCAAGGTAGGTCGAGGTTGGTTCAGGCTGGTTGAACCAGCCGGAACTGCTACCATCGCGTTCTCCGAAAAAAAAAGCCCTTAATTGTATTTTCTGAAATAATCTGACAGGCAGTAGAATGATTGCTAGGTTAATTGACTTAAACGGGAAATTAATAGTTGTTTGAATTCACTCAATGTTGGCATTATCAGCTAGTTGTGTGGAGTAATTAAGGTTTGATTCATGTAATATGGCCACAAACCACATAGTGTAATGAAAATCTGGTCGCAAAAATTCTGGTCATGTTAATGAAGTTTGCCTGTCAATTCTTACTCTTTCGCTCCTCTCTCTTTTTTGAATACTTGCTTTCGATTTACTCTTAAGTATAATACCTCTTCTTTCTTCTCAGTCCCTATTTGAAGATTTTTGTTTCATCTTACCCTCCGTTTCACACCTTACTTTCTTCTCTTTTGTCTTAGATTGGTGAATAATGTCGGCACAGAAGAACTTAGATAAGAAGGATACCTCAGTTCAAAACATTACGGGCAAGTTAGAAAAGTCCCTAAGCATTGGGGATGGAAAAAAAGATGAGGCTAAAGCTACGGATGCTGCAAATGCCCAAGCTATAGTAAGTTTCGATCTTTTCATTTAGATTTAATATTCCATTTCCTGTATGAGCCGACTTAAGACTGTATCATTACAACTTCAATTAATGATGTTTATAACATCAGATTTTGGTAACTATGCACCCTCAATGGTGATTTTTCAGCAGGAATGCTGTAACTTTTCAATTACACTTACAACCCATGCAGTCACCTTCCGGCCAAAGTATCACAAGCACCATGCAACATTTCAAAATTTCCGCCATCATTTTATTTTTTTAAAGATAAATTTTTGGTTGAATTTATTTGAAAATTTCACTGAAATTTATTGGTAGCACAAAGAAAATTTAGTGAAATTTTCGGACAGCTTCGTTGAACAATTTCTCTGTAAAGAAATAAAATGGTGACAGGAATTTTGAAACTACCATGGCGCTTGTGATACTTAGGCCGGAAGGTGATGATGTAGTCTGAGAAAATGTCGAAAGGATGAATTGAATTTTAACCGTTTGTTAGTTATCATCTGGAAATTGAGAATGGGAAGATGAATTTATTCACTGAGGAGCTGGTATTACACAGACTCACCTCGTATATTTTAATAAATAAAAAGGTTTTATTCGGTATAAATCTGGAAATTTGGAAAGAACAATTTTGGTTTCAGAAAGATTTTATTTCAGGAAGATAAGGGGGAGACATTTAAGTTTCATCACATCCAATTAAACAGTAATGCCCCTAAGTAGATATATTGTGGAATTTTGCCATTGAATCCTTTGAAGTAAGTATATCATTGCATCCATGAATCAGCTATTACTCTTGTCTCTTCATTTTCTTTGTTACTTTGTTAACAGGGAAAAAATTTCCGCCCTAAACTCACAAGCAAATCAAACAGCACAGTTAGTGCTGATCCTGACAAAATTCTTGAATATGTGAGTAATCGCATTACTAAGCTTGAATGCACATTTTTAGCTGTGGGAAGTCCTTGAAAGTACTAACTCGCTTTTTGGCCTTAATTCTTAAGTTATTGAAAGCCCTTAATTTTAAGAGCCCTTAATGACATTGGGTGCAAGAAATCTCAGTTTTTTTTTAATTCTTATTTTTTCTTAAAATAAGATGATGTTATTTTCTGCGTACTCGTTCAGAAATTTGGGAGTAACATTCTTCTTCAATTTTTTTTCTTTGTGCAAGTAAAACAAGAACCAGGAGTCGCAAGCTTGGTAAACCACAAGCCAGGAATCTGGAACATGACCCTGACCCCAGACGTTTTTATGCAAGCTTAAGTTTATTTTCCTCCATGGTTGATCAATTTTCTCTATTTCAGTAATCCTCAACCTGTGGTCTGCAGATCTCCTTGGGCTGTGGAAGGTATTATAGGGGGAGGGGTGGGATGGGAATCCTGAAGCGAAAGTAAAATAGATTGAAAAAATTTAAAAAAATAACTTACCATGTGTGAGGAGGAGAATATGAAAACAAGAGAAACATGCATCACCTTATTACGCCTAATTAGCCCCTTGCATCAACCCAAGGCACAGGCTTTTGTCTCCATGCATTACAAATCAATTCTAACTTTAAGAAGTCGTCTAGCACCATCTTAACTTTTATTCTGGTTTTTTCTCTCTATATTTTCTCTTATTCTTAAGAATTCCTTGCAGAGACCAGATGGCTAGCAAAGCACTTATGGGAACAGCTTATACAGTAGTCAAAGTCATATTGTCTCCTAAAATTGTTGATTCTTATGGATGTTCTTTAAACTCCTTAACCTCACCTGGCATTTTCTCTCTGTTCTTGACAGGCAAAGGACAAAGTTGCTTCAAAAGCAGCTAAAAATAAGAAAAAAGGATCTCCTGGAGAGAAAGGTAGCGGCTCAACAAGCAAGCCAGGGGGATCTAACAGTCATTCTGGAGGGAATAACCCGAAACCAGTTATGAGTTATGCTTCAAAACTGAAAGCTACCTCCAACACTCCCGCAGCTCCAGTCAATCCTGCTGCAGGGCCAGCCCCTGTGACAACTCCGTCTTCAATACAGGATCGGCTTCAAGCAGCTCAGGTGTCAGCCCCTGTTGTCTCAACTAATCAAAGCCTACCCAACGCTGCTACAACGTTCGTACCTTCTGCTTCTGCCCAAGCAACCCAGAATGTGAACCCTGTTGCTTCGGTACCCAGTTCTTTCGTACCCTCTAACCCCTCTGCAACTTCGCTTCCCACCTCGCTAACTTTCACCAATTCGCAGCAAACATTCACTGCTCCCACTACGAATTTTGAAGATATTCTCAGGAAGTCCAGCCTGAATCCAGACGTGTGCGATTTTCAGCCGGGTCGCCCGAGGGTGGTCAGTTCTCAGGTAAGTTGTCAAATTTTCCTCATCAATTTCTCATTTTCTCGTTTCATTAGAACTATTCTGTGCTGTAGCTGTTCTGTAACTAACTTTACTGTGCTGCTTTAGCACCTCACTGAAACAGGAGCAATAACAGTCCAGTATTTTAGGACTTGTTAGTCCTGAAAAAAGGCTGTAAACTTGATCAAAATATTAAGAACTCCAAATACTACAGTATACTTCAAAAATGTTTTCTTCTCTCTCAAAAGTCCTTCAAATACCTTTTTGAAAGTTCTTGATTTTGCCAATAACTTAAGTAGAACGTCTGAAAAAGTTTCTAAACATGTCTGCTTTTGGTTTTTCATGGTTTTGAACAGCCATTATGAAGTACAAATGTGGTTGCCGATAATTTTGGTCCTGATTTCTATGTTATCATCAAGGAAGGTTTGGGAATTCAAAAACTTAAAAGAACCAAAAAGAGCCTAACTCAAACCTCTGTTGTTGTGGTCGACATCATTCTTATTTCCGCTGTGTTCTAACCCTTTTACCATATTAGCATGTAATCCTATTTGATGATTGTTTCAGACGACGGTGGCCAACCCAAGTGAAGTGGAAGCAGCGGTCAAGAAGCTGATCGAAGATTTTACCCAAAGGAAAAACTTCTTCAAACAAAATCTCGCCTACTATGTCGATAATCACCTCAAACCATTTTTGTCAAATGCAGGAAATATTGATGTTTTAATTAGGACCTTGTTAAACATTGTAAGTATTTTTCCCGTCATACTTTATTTAGCCAATTGTATCATGGCCATCTATATAATACAGCTACAAGCAAAATCTTGGAAGCACTATTTCTGACGAACTGCCGGACCGATAAGGATGATCTTTACATGTATGTCATCTGTAGTAGATGTAGATGTGCCAAAAATTATGAAACCCCGAACTTTTAATGTTATAGAGCTTTTAAAGCTCATGTCACTTAAGTCCAATGTTAATAGCGTGAGAGATATGTCGTTTCGGCTAGAAACGTCAAGGTGTGGGATTCTACCTGAGTGACTCAAATAAACAATAAAACAATGGAAAAGCTGGTGAAGGGCTCCTCATTTGAAAAGTTGAGGAACGGTGCATCGCTCAGGGTTCAAGGTCCAAGGTATAAGGTTTTTACACAATTTTTCCTCATTCTTCTGGCTTCGATTTGTGGCATTGGTCAATTTACTTGATTGCTGAATTTCTATTAATTTTTACAGCAGATAAACAGCAGCTACAGAGTGAGAAGGCAGGCGCTGCGTCGCTAGGGTGTTCCGTTTTCAGACAACCATCTCAAAACCTTGCTCCCCGGGCTTTTTCCCATTCCTTTTGGTCCCCAAAAGATAATTCTGAAGTTTCAGCGTCATAGCTCAAGTCTACACTTTCCCCCAAAGCGATGCAAATTTTGGAAGCAATTACATTGGTTTAAATGGGAAAAAAAATAGGCAAATTCCCGGAAATACGTTTTTCGGTTGTAAAACGCGCCGAAATGATTTCAGACGTGACCATCTCTTGGGAAGTCATCCAGCTCATTTTCCAGTCATTTTGAACGAGAAAATTCCACTTTTGACCCAAAGGGGGGGGAGGGGGGGTCAGGGCGCAGTTAGTTTTGAGGCGCTGCGCGCAGCAAAATGATCGCATTTGACAGTTTTTGATCAACCTCAGAACAGGTCCTCCGAAGCTGAGGGGGCTAATGTATCTCATAAATTGTAATAAAATAATGTACAAGAGTTGTTTTCATCCCTTCAGAACTATTTTCGATCATTTACACTGTTGCCAAATTTACTCGAACCTGGAAGGGAATTAGTGTTTATCATTTTCTGTGCTTGAGTGATTTTGGCAACAGTATAAATGGTCGAAAATAGTTCTGAAGGGATGAAAACAACTCTTGTACATTATTTTATTACAATTTATGAGATACATTAGCCTCCTCAGCTTCGGAGGACCTGTTCTGAGGTTGATCAAAAACTGTCAAATGCGATCATTTTGCTGCGCGCAGCGCCTCAAAACTAACTGCGCCCTGACCCCCCCTCCCCCCTCTTTGGGTCAAAAGTGGAATTTTCTCGTTCAAAATAGGCCTCTGGATGACTTCCCAAGAGATGGTCACGTCTGAAATCATTTCGGCGCATTTTACAACCGAAAAACGTATTTCCGGGAATTTGCCTATTTTTTTCCCATTTAAACCAATGTAATTGCTTCCAAAATTTGCATCGCTTTGGGGGAAAGTGTAGACTTGAGCTATGACACTGAAACTTCAGAATTATCTTTTGGGGACCAAAAGGAATGGGAAAAAGCCCGGGGAGCAAGGTTTTGAGATGGTTGTCTAAAAACGGAACACCCTGCTGCGTCGCGTCGGGACGGACCAAATATTATTAACTCTTAATGGTCGAAATCCGATTTTTTTTTTTTAAATTAAGTATTTAAGAATAACATAATAAATGGAAATTTTTCCAGTAAGTGGACTGTGAAATTATGTACATCCAGCTATTCCTCATCATTTACAAATCTGAGTGTTACGTCAAAAATTTTGAAATCGATGCAGCTCGAACACAAAATGGTGTATTAAAATGGAAGAACATTTTTGCCTATACATATGCGTATAGGGCCCGCGAAGCGGGCCTGATGGCGCGAGGCGCCCCCTCGGGGGTTGGGCCGCGTGGCGGTCAGGGGGCAGGGCCCCCTAGTATATTATGGGCATGCAACCATTTATTTATAATTTACAGAATCAAATCATGAGAAGCTGATCATTTTTTTGTAGCACTACACAGGGGAGTCTGCCCTAGGTTTTGAGGTGTGACTTAAGAATACTCTATTTTGTTAGGTCCAAAATTCTAGTCAGAAGTTCATGATTGTTCTATTCGTTCAAAGTAATCCCTGAAATTGTTTGGATTATGATTTATTTTTTATAGACTAAAAATTCAATTTTTGAGTCACAACAGGGCTGAATTTTTTGTTGGAAAGAAGTAATGCCCATGCTAGTAAAATTGCTCATTTTAAATCAAGTTCTTGTATATCTGATCATGATCTGTACTTACTGAGTGTTGCCGTTAAAATTGTTATAGTTAATAGCACTGGCTTTTCTATGTTTTCAGGTACTGGAAAATGAAGATTTTATGTATACGCTTGTGAATCTTCTAACCACCTGTGCCACTGCCTGTAGTAGTTGTGACTTCATTTCTCAAGTTGTATCAACGTAAGGAATGTCTTAAATAATCGTTGTTCAAGAGTTCTGTCAACTAAAAGTTTTTTTTTTTCTTTTTTTTTTTTTTTTTTTTTTTTTTCTGTAGACTCAACAATACTTTATTAGAATTTGTTTCTGATACATTGACATTTGAACTGCTGTCCTCAGTATTTGGAGGAGTGCAGGGGTTTGTAGCCGGTATCCAAGCTCGCCAAGCATTGCTGAACACAGAGCGTGCCTTGCCTCCACCCTGCTGGCGACCCTGCTTGATTATTTCTGATTGAAGTCCCTGGTGGGGTTGGAGACTGCAGTTGTTGTATTAGCATTTTATCCCTACTATTGAAGTAAGAGAAAAAGTTGACAATTATTTGCTCTCAAGTCGTAAGTAATTGGCTCTGTCCATCAGTGATAAAGAATTGAATGAGGACACTGCAGCTGTTATGCCAAGGCTAAGGCACACTTTTGGGTGCGTGAGAAGAAAATACTAGTTGTACGATGAAATAATCTGCTTTTCTGTGAAATTAGGCGGAATCTGCTGTATCATTTAGAACAGCTTCTATAGAAGAAATTTTCTGGTCTGATCTGAGCATTCTTGCATGATGATTTCAGTGCTCTGTGTCCATTCCGAAGCAGTCAATCAATGAAGTTATGCCCCATAGTAGACCTTGCCAGTGGAAAAAAATATTATGGAGAAGAAATGGAACCCACACTAGTTGGAAACAAAAAATTGAATGATGAACAGGTCTTTTAGTCTTATTTATGTTGATGTGTTGCAAATACTTTCCGATTATTGACTTGGCTCTTTTATTGTTCATTCAACAGAGTCAAATCCATGTCCAGGGAGTTCAACCATACAGATGAAGAAAACAATTTCATTTTAGTAATGGCGTATTTGTATCAAGGATTAGCAGAAAAATATGCTAGCCAGTCAGCCCTGCTATCTGAAGAGTTCCGCGCTGATATAATGGCAATGCTCATGACGGAAGATTTACCCAAAGTCAAACTTGCACTCCGAGCCCTCCAGGTAAAACTTCTCATTTTCTCTTGCTTTAAAAACAGTCAATTATTTTTTTTTTTTTTTTTTTTTTTTTTTTTTTTTTTTTTTTTTTTAAGTGCTATAAAAACAGTGCAAGTTATGGTGGTGAGGAGGACATATGCACCCGCTGAAATAACATAAGGAAACAGGAGTAGATGCTCAATGAATAGGGAGAGGGGGGCTTTTTCCTCCTTTTCTGCCTTTTTAACTTTGAATCTGAAACCCAACTTCGATTTTTTTATGTATATTATTTATTTGTTGACAAGTAATAGAGTATATTTTTCGCATCTTTCTTGTTGCCGTTTCACTTTTTGTTTTTCTTTCCCACTTTTGATTAGGTTTTTCTGAAAAGTTTTGAATCTTGAGAAATGAGGGAGAGTTCAAACCTGAGTAATGAGAAGGGGGGTTTGCGTACCCAAGCACTAGCTTGAGGTACTTCAAGATTATTTATTAAGAAAAGAACAACTTAATTTGGGGAAAAGGCTGCAAATAAAGAAAAAGGAATAAACAAAACCCGGAACGTTTCAAAATAATTACAATTTCATTTTCAAATGAGCCGTCGCTACGCTGTTATTGCGAGACCGAGACTGGTCTCGCAATAACAGCGTAGCGACGGCTCATTTTTGTTTTTAATTTATTTTCCGGTTGAAAATGAAATTGTAATTATTTTGAAACGTTCCGGGTTTTGTTTATTCCTTTTTCTTTATTTGCAGCCTTTTCCCCAAATTAAGTTGTTCTTTCATTATGTGTATTTTGGCTGATTAAGTTGTTTCTCATTATTTATTAAGGCAGCTGTTCATGAAGATACAGCTGGCAGGCAGATACTGCTGGCTAGGCAGCTGTTATTGCTGTTCATAAAGATTACATGTTTCTTTGCACGGAAGAGCGTTTTCATGGTATTCTCTGCAAAAAGTAACAGTCTCTGCAATTTCCTTCCCAAAAAATAATGTGTGTAACAGTTTCCCTCACAAGAATGAATAATACATAGGGTGTCCCAAAACAACTGGCACTAAGACTGTCATTCGGGAACTACAATGGATATCGACATGCGGTTTGCGGGAGGTGATAGCTCATATTCTTAGCTCTTAAATGAGCCTAAGTTGAGCTAGTTTGGTTAAAAACTCAAAAAGTTACATTAATTTTCCCGAGACGTGTAAGAAATACCCGCACGGGATTTTTCGGTAATTTTTCATTCCGTTAACTTTGCATCCGCAAGCTGTGCTATGGGTTCAGATGTTATGAATCAAGTTTTCACTTGTCTGGATGCAAGGTTGAACTTGTCAGCAAGTGTTTCCATCACAGCCGAGAAGTTTTCTTCTGTTTGCAAAGTCAGTTCAGTGAAATTGTCCGGCCTGATAACGCGTTTTTTGTGTTTTGTCATGAGTTCACCCGCGGAGTTGAAGCAAGAGCAACAATATGCAATTCGATATTGCGTTCGTCGTGAATTATCTGCTTCTGAAAAACTGCAAACCGCATGTCGATATCTATTGTAGTTCCCGAATGACAGCCTTAAGTAGTGCCAGTTGTTTTGGGACAGTCTATGTATTACAATTCCAAAAAAGCAATCTCTGGAGCGCTCTCTGCCCTCTCATTTTTTCTCATACTTTTTCAGGTGCCCTTACATTTTCCCTCCATTTCAGGTGCCTTTGCATTTCTTCCGATCTGGCCTGGCGAGCATTTTCTGCACCGAACAGAGGTGCAGAAGCACCCTTTACACAAAAGTTTTACAAAAGTGATAACCGTGAGCCTTATTGATGGTTTGAATTGTAATTTGGTTTAAAACAAAATCGTCCGGCCACCAAATCATCTAGTAGTGAATGAAGCGTATTTAATTATTAAATCCGCTCTTTATCCTATCGTTACTATCATAAATGTTTCAACCCTCAAATTGTGCCAGTTTGTTGTACATTTTTCATTTTCTTTTCATTTTTTCAACAGATTGCCCTTGGAAGACTGGAGAGGGAGCACAGTTCATATTTTGAGCAAGAAGTTGTAGCGTATCTATCTTATTTAAGTGAAAATAAAAGCGAAGTTCGGGACTCTATTCAGCAAGTGATTCACTACCGCTGCCTATTACGCCAATATCAGGATGAAGAAGCATTGCATGATGAACTTAGCGATAACCGTGCACAATATGATGTAAGTTCTCTTCTGTGAGAGTTATTTTACCTTCTTCTTGAGAAGTACCTTCAAGTATTTGACTGAATTAACATCTCTCTTATCTTAAGATGCCTTCGAAAGCCTTTCAGGGGCTGCACAAGGCTTGTGTTACCAAAATCAATGATAAACGAAACCGAATCTGTGTCCACTCCTGTGCTTCAGGTTGATGAGCAGGTTACAGTTTGACTCATTAGGAGATGTTAGGATGGTGAATTGTTGCTTAATTTATGAGAATCACTTGGAGTCGCGTATCTAATTAGAGGATCAGCGCGCTTGCAATGCTGGCGATCCTATTAAGACAACCCTTAATGAATGCCAAAAATCACCTGCTTAAAATAAGTTAAATACTCGAATTGTATACTTTAACTCTGAGAATTGATGTGTATCTCTTGATTCTATCAATTTGTCAACTGCGTTGCATATTGCATCCAGCAAACATGCAAAATTAGCTGACACTAGTGGCCTCGTAACTAAACTAGAGCAGTTCAGAGATGCATCTGCCAGTGGCCCATCTTTGCAACTTTGCATTGTATTTTTAGCAGCTGCTATTCTCAGGGTTGCCACAATTGGAGAATACAGGGAAAACCAGGAAATGCCTAGGAATTTTAAAAAATCAGGGAAAAATTGTCTAGTCACCTTTATTTCTTTCTAGAATGGGTTTGATGTTTCGAACAATAAATTTTGCCTGAAAACTATCTCAAATCATGTCTTTTTAAGCATATGGCATATCCTCAATTGTCAGAGAATTTTACCGAAATGTGATGGAGAAATCAGAGAAATGTCAGGGAATTTCTTTTTCTAAATTCTGTGGCATCTCTGACTTCAGCTGTTGATTCCCATGGCCAGGCTAGCTTTTTTCAATTTTTTTTTTTTTCAAACAAAATAGCACAGTGACAAGTCCTTCGAAAGTCCAAGGAAATCTAAGGAAGTCAATAAATTTCACTCAATCATGAAAAGTTGAGGGCAAAGCCAGAAAATCTTCTCCTGAAACCTTGAATCTTCTGGTTTTTTTTGAGACCATGTGTGTCCATGTGTTCTAGCGAAACTGCTCTTGCTGGGCCAGAAAAAATTTCAAAACAATAGCAAAATTCGAGTGCTTCGAACCGTGGTTTCCTCCAATTGTTACAATGCTAGCATCTCTAATTGGTCACATACGTAACTAGTTTTGCACAATTAGTTCTGCAATTAACTTGTAGACAGTGCTGCTATTCCATAGTAGTGTTGGAAATGTTGGTCACTGACTTTGTTGTGGCCTGGTATGACCAACTAAAAAACTGTCGCTATGACTGGCTTGTCAGTCAATGTATTAAAACGTTTAATTGGCTCTTATCACACTCACGATTTTTGTCAGCAGAGCTTGAACTTGACACCAAGTATGTCTCGTGAAAATACTATGATATCAAACATCCTCAAAAAGCTAGGAAAATTTTAAAGTTCAAAGAAACTTGGTATCCTGAGATATCTGATGAAAAAAATACGATCTGAAGATCTTCAAAGGAACTCTGTGAACAGTCCCTGACCAATTTTCTATCCAATAGCACATCCATAAGACATCAGAAACCGCTTCCGAGTCTTAACCCCCACAAATGTAGGATCTTCTACTTTTTTCATACTCGTCTTAAGAATTGCTGTCTATTTTGCTTCCTTGTGCTGCACAGTAAATTGAGCACATTGCCTCAATTTTAGGTGTCTCTTAAAATGCTGGATAAAAATGTATAGGTAATGAATGGGATGAGGTCATGGACTGACTTCGTCTAAGCATTGTCAACTGTGCTCCGTCTGAATTGGCATTGTATACTTTGTATTGATGCTCTGCTAATGAAGCATCTTTGCATGAAAATATCGCAACTTTTTCAAAGAAAACCTAGCAAATGTTGTAACTTGTAACATTGTTTTTTTGGGCTATTCACTGCTTGCACTAATGCACTGTCTATTTGCTCCCGGGGTGTGCTGTCTCTTAAATATCTCCCTTGTCTGGACCTGAAATTGTTCATTCGTTGCTTCAAAAATAGTTTGATTCTGGACAAAACTTCCCCATCCATTCTTTCATTTTACTGTCAACTTGAATATTCAGCCAATTAAATCCTTCAATGAACCGCATCTTATTGTGACTGTGTAGCCTCTTTATATTCTGTGTTCTGCTTACTCAAAGGAAAATGGTAAATTGCTCTGGGGTCTCTTTCTTGTCGGTTTAAGGAAAGCTGGGTCTCATGAGACATGTATAACCCAATGACAATCCTCTCTCAAGTTACGGATTTTCGAGGATACATTTTAAAATAACTTTTCAATTGAGGGACAATCACATGTGAACATTAAACAAAGTGATACACTCAGACACATTAAAATACTTGCTAATTTATTTTTTCCCCTCATTTGAGCATTCTGGCTCCACAAGTTATTCTCAGTTGACCGTTCCATTTAATTGATTCTAGCCTAAAATACTTTTTTTTAGCATAAAGAAGTATAGGTATTACCATTGTGGAGGCCTCAATTTTTCTTATGATTTTTTTTTCTTTTTGTTGAAAAAAAAGAAAGGTTTGAAATTAACCCTTAAGAAAACTCTTGAGAAGTGTTGGTGGAATGTAGTGTGTAATGTGTATTCATTGTAGTGCATGAGGAGTCATTCCCATGTACAGTTCTTCGATAGCCTCCTTTGGTGAATCACTCCTCTTCTAGTTCCTCATTCCAACTTCTCTTGTTATTGATGCATCCTTACGTGGTTCACAGTACTCGTCCAATCACTCACAACCAATGTGCGGACCGGATGGGCAAGCTCTAACCGATGAAGAGATTCATTTTTTGCATAATATGTCACAAGAAGTTGATTGGTAAGTTATTTCCACTCATATTTTTCCCTTTGTGGAAGTAGTCTCTTTTCCCCCTTTTTTATCACCTGAAGTTGGAATTAGGAACTAGAAGAAATGTAAAGTTAGAAGCAAGTTTTTCTTGACACTCATTTCATGATTTATTTCAATTTTAATTTTGTTTAAATGGTACCATCATTGCCCTAAAATGGTAACTTTCACAACAGTTTCCTTTGATAGCCTTTGTCTAGTAATTTTAAAAAATAATCTGCATGATTGTGCATCCATCTCTATCTCTTCAGTTGGATAACAGTCGAGAGGATGAATTAAGTGCATTCCTCAGTAATATTTACCTCACAAATAATTTCAGGTTTGTAGATGATTTGATTATTTGATCTGAATGTTAGATGAAGGTTAAACTGCTTTTCTGTACTTTTGCTTTTGCAAATGTCTTACTCCAACTGACTTAGGTAATCATCGTGATCAAGTAAAATTTGCACGTATTTGATGCTGGTATAAAAAAACGTTACTGGACTGAAGATTTGTGATCTTTTCTGATTTTCTAAATTTTTCAAATATTATTCCATTCTCAACGTTTGTTTTGACCACACTGATGGTACGGAGATTTGTTTCGAGGTTGTAAGACATGATGCATGCATCAAATTAAGTATATATGCATACATGCTTACCTGTAAATTGATGCACTGGACAACCTAAATGAGCATGGTGTTGAGTAGTCTGCATGAGATTATGTAGTCTGACATTTTCTGCGCGTAATTTTCTAGTACCTACGAGTAAACCTCCCTAAGAATTGAGCCCTCATGATACAATCAAAGTAGAGCTTTCAAAGTGGCGACACATCATTGAAAGCTTTCCTTTGATCGTATGTTGCAAGAAAAGTAATATTTTGTGGACAGAGTTGAAGGCGAAGAGAATTTCATGGGATGGTTAGATTGCTACCCTCAGTTATGGATCTGCATTTTATCTATTATTTTTGTAGTTTAGAATCAGTGCAACTAGTCCATCTTGCAGTAAACTCAGACAAACTGAAACAATCTCTTCATCGTACCGAGTGTATTTTCACAAGTGGTTGTCTACCCCAATCCAAAGTGAATAACCGGTAATGAAATTGGTAGAGATACTTGAAACTTTCTTTATGTTTGAGTCATAGAGTTTGGGTTAGGCAGAAACTAATGATGTAGTAGCAGCTCAATACCTCTGAGGAGGGGGAGGTGGAGAGGTGAATAAGCATCCCTGAAATTTTAATTGGTAATATTCTTCTTGTGACACATCATTGGGGAGCATGAGAAAAAGGATAAAATTGGTGCAAGCTGCTAGTCTCCCAAGCATGATGGCCTGCTGAGGTTGACTAATTCAAAACCTCTACCAGTTGCAGTTTTGAAACAATAATGGATAAAAACCTGTCGTGTTCTCTTGTCTTGTGGTCCATTGAAACTCTCCTTCTATCCTCCTACCCTGAATTCTGATTTATAGTTTTGTTGGTTTCAAGTTTTTGAGCCATGTGGGTTGTCCAAGATAAGAGAAGAGTCATTTGAGGTGATTGAAGAAACAGAAGTTTTAAGCTGATAACTCAGTGTAAAGAGAATTTATGTATCCGCTGATAAAGGTTCAAATTGGGCTCATTGTAAATTTAACAGTCTTTTTATTTAGTATTCCTGTCAAGCACCATTGTTTTTATATATACCCATTTGCATCCCTAGTTAAGTTTACTCATCAGCGTTGTCCCGGGACAGCTACGTATAGTCGAGTTACTGTTTACCTTCCATGATTGATAGGCAGGTCTTTAGGTCGTGTTTGTCCAATTGCCCGATAGACAGCGCTGCGGTTATCGTTCCATGATCATTCCATGTTGATCATTCAAGAGTATTCTGTTACCCTCCTGGTTGCTTTTACTGAAGGCATGGTGACCAAAAAAATTGCTAGTACATGAATGGATGAAGATGAGTATTATCGTGAGAAATTTGGAGACGCTTATTTTTTTTGTAAATTACAAGCAGCGTTTTGTCATTGCACCATTGAAGGTTTTGATAAATCTACTCAAAATTGTTTATGGTCTTTCCTTTTATTTCTTTCTATCGCTTGCTTCCTCATCACTAGCCGCTACTTTTTAAATTCGTAATTTTTTTTTCTTTCCTCAATAATCATCTGTTATAAGCACTAAAATGGAGATATTTTCTCTTATGACACAAGAACACTTTTAGGTCAAATGTATCCATAACTCTGTGAACAGTGTGAAAACTTTGTCTATGCTTTATGGATCTTTCAAGCTTTCTATCAACTTCATCAACTTTAGTTTAAGCAAATTCGGCTTTGCAAGAAGCTGCCTCTTCATCAATGTTATTTCTTGTTTGTTATAGTATTCGGCTCGATCAGCTGGGAGAAATACTAGATGAAGCGTACGAAGATGAAATGGATGATGATGCTTACAATGCCCTTGATGAATTTTTAAAAACAGTAAGTGTTTTTTCTAAAAAATTTTGTTCTGTATCTGAGGACTTATCTGTAACAATAGCGGATGTGAAAAATTACCTCTTCGAAACATGCTTAAAAAACTGTTTTGTTCACACAAAAATTTAATATGTTTGACTCTGGCATAGTGTACAGATCTCAAAGATCACATCTCAAGTATTTTCTCAAAATTCTCTCGATGCAAAACAGTTTTTTGAATGTGTTTCGAACAGGTAATTTTTCACATCCGCTATTGTTACAGATAAGTCCTTATATAGGTGCGTTCGTGATACGACAACAGAGATTATATTGGTGAATTGCCTGCTGCGTTACCAAATATCAATTGAGGCTTAACTACTGTCCCGTGACTTTGTTTACCTCCACAATGCTCAATTCTCCATTCACCGGTCGCCAAAAGTGCTGCGCTGTTGCGGTGAGCATTGAACTGCCATGACAGTCACCAGGTAAAAAGCGTTGCCTTAACGGAGGTATAAGAACGATTGTCAAACTTGCAATGTTCTCACCGAGTAATTTCCACTGAGGCTCGTTATCCCTTACGAACGCACCTTATCAAATAGTAAATGTTAGATGTCCCCTCGTGATTTTACCATCGTGTTACTCTCAGCATTGGGTCACTTTTACAGTGTTTTTTTTTCTTCCTCCAACTACACACCATAGAAAAGGAAAGATGCAGTGATTTCTCAAGAGTTGAAATATGTGATGAAGTATTGCAAGCTGGAGAAAGTGACCAAACATTGCAATAGTCTCTACTGCTCCAAATTTATGAGCCATAAAACATTTTAACTTTGACCCTATTTCCTGGGGTTTTGTGCAGAAAATTGACCATTTTTAGGCTCCCTAGATGATCCTCTATCAGCCCCCAAAATATATCACAATTCTCTTGAGGAAATGCCCATTTTGAATAGGTTGTGTCTTTTTTCTTTAAGCTATATTCTTCTAATTAATGTAGCATTAAATTTAACTTTCTTTTTTGTTACAGATACCAAAATAACAGCCTTACATAAAATGTAGCAGTTGGCTATTCTACGCTCAATTATCGTTCAATTTTACTTAAACTCTCTGTGTCTGTGAGTTGAACTCTGTTTCCTTCTTTTCCCTCAATTTTAATTTTTTCTATAAACTGTTAGATCAGTCCCAAACTCAGTGGCTTAGTTGATATTAACTAATTAAGAACTATTTTTTCTTTTTTCTTCTGTAGACAAAGGAAATAAAGAATAATTTTATATTTATACTTATTACCCAGTGGTAACCATTTGTCTGGATCAATTAATTGTCTTTTTTACTAGCACTTGTATATATGAGCGTGAATTTATTTATAATTTTTTTTTTTTTTTTTTTTTTTTTTTTTTTTTTTTTTTTTTTGAAACGCAGTGGTCTGTTAGTAATGAACTTTATTGCATGAACCATTTTTTATATGTATGCCTTTTCTTAAATGCCCTGATGATTTTTAGGAGGCACCATCTGTCTCTTTTATCGGAATCCTCTGTCTTTGTAAGTCTGGAAAATAAATGTTGTGTGGTCTGTTGAAATTACTAGATTACTTCTGCATATATCATCATTGAATTTAAGAAAATGCTTGAGTTTAAATATCCTAAATGTTGCATTAAGACACTTAAGAGTGCACACCTGATGAAAAAATACCTGATTGAAAAATTTGTATCAATCAATTGTAGAGCATTCTTAGTATTCTTTAATGGTTCTGTTATCAATTTTTGGGGGAAAAAATGTTCGTGTTACATAGTTTATACTATAATCTTTCTCTTTGTCTCTCTCTCTCCCTGTATTATTCTAGTTGTCTTTAGGGATTTTAGGAAGAATTTCATAAGAATTGAAATCCTTTTTTCTGAACACACCTTGAACTTGGCACAAAAGTCTACTGTCTGCTTTTGTTGTTATTTTGCTAATCTTTTTTGTCTAGCAGTGGAAGAACATCCTCTTTGTACATTGAATTCTGTTGGGTTTTTCAGATTATTTTTGGACACCCTTTGTTGTCTTTTGAATGATGGTTAAGTTTTTGATTGGCTAGAATGTTGTGTACATTTTTCGTGTTGCCTGAGGAACAGCTAGTTGCTCAGCAGCCATAAAGAACAATTGTATGTAAGTGATGATGGCCATCATTAGTGCCATGCAAGTTCTTAGAGCTGTGGGAAGTTCATGCAGTGGAATTCTTATCTGAGTAGGGGATAAGTTGCCACTAGGTTGCAAATTCACCTTCTTAACACTCATTATCAACACTTCAATTATCTGTAAATCTAAAGCAGCTATCTTTTAGCTTTTTTTTTTTTTTTGAGCATGACAAATGTAGGATGTGGCCTGATTTAGCAGGAAAAACTCAAACGTAGTCCTCCTGCAAGGCTGATGCCAACTGGCAAGTTTGCAGGTTTTCTTGTAGTGCGGATGAATGGAAAAAAGACAAACTCTACACTTTCCAGTCAAAGGAAGGATGAATACTTGTGCTGAATCATAATGTTTTCGAATTTCTCTCGATATAATTTGGCAAAAGGCTCTTTTTTAGCATATCCTTTTACTGGCACTTGTGATGGCTTTCATTTCTCTTTTAAATCTGTGGCTTAAATTCAAAGATTTGTTAATGGAAAACAAAAATTCGGTGAACTAACATCCCAGAATGTTAAAAATCTGCACAACTTTGGAATGTTGATAGGTTTATTTTTTTACGTTGTTGTATGGATGATACATTAACAGCTGGAGTGTTCATATCAACATTCTAGAGTTTTCCTGCACATTTTTAAAATCCTGGGATTTTAATTTGAAATAAATGCAACATAACTTTTCCATGCATCTAACATTTTCAAAATATTGAGTTATGTGTATTCTGGACCCATTTAGTTAAAACTCTGTGATTGGAATAAAGAAATTGACGCCCATATCTAACATCAGGATCGAGATACATGGCAACTAAATTTTTTAACATTGCTAGCAATTAAGTTGCTGTGAGCAGTGAAAAGCATTAACGATTGTATGAACACTTTTAACAATAGCAAGCCTTCCTGTGTTTTCATTAAAAGTCAGGAGAAAAGTGAGGCAGAATTATTTTGATCCAACCATGAACAGTCAATTCTTCTTCATAAAAAATATGTGATGTTCTCTTGGTGAATTAATCAAATTATTTTATTTGTATAGATTCACATCAAATTTGTTTCCTTTTTTGCCTCCCAATTTCCCCTGATTATCTCCAGGAATTCATAAATTTAGGCTGCAAACTTCATGGGTAATATTTCAGGCCACTTCCTTGTGGTCAATAATTACACTCATAGAATTGTTATTTGAACTGGATTGTTTTCGTTTTGACGAATTGTTACTGTGCTGTATGTTCACGATTGATTTGCTTTTTCCTTTTGTAAATAGGAAACCTGTGTTTTTATTGTGATATTAAAAACTTGGGGGGCTGGGATTTAATTTAGGTAGATCCTTAATCCTGCAAAGTTATTTAATTCAATTTTTTTTCTCCTTGTGTGTTTTTATTTTAAAGTTAAGTTTTTATTTTTGTAATTAATGTCTGGAAATCTTGGTTTTTGATCAAAAGTTTTATCTATGATGATTGTGACACAAACTCAAATTGTAGTTCTTAACTTGTATCGTGTCTACCTCTTTTTTTTTCAGTCAATGAACTCGATACCTTGATTTTTCCTAGGGTTTCTCCTTCGTTTTCTCACTAATATCTCTTAAACGTTTTATTTTCTTCGCTAAAAGATTCAATTAATCCTCACGTATATTCTACATAATTATATTTGATTTCTTTTATCTCCTTTTTTTTACTATCCTTTTTTTTTTTCTTGTCAAAATTTTCTTTGTCAAACACCAGATTTCTGTGAATTTTGAAAGATTCAACTCTTTGAAATCTTTTAGATTTTTCTTTTTCTCAAATCCAGGTGCTCTAAAAAGCAGCAATTTCTGTGAAAAAAGAGAAAAAAACAATCTGGCAGCCCAAGATTGTTCTCAAAATTTGGTTACTGCTTCGCAACACAAATTATAGGTTAGGAAAAATTTCTTGGTTTTCAATCTCTAATTCAGGAAAAAAGGTTCTTACGAATTTAAAAACTCGGTAAATATTTGCTTGTAAATAAAGTGCTACTTTAAACATTAATCAAACTGTGAAGTTTCCTTTCAATATCTTAAAAAGTGGACAGTAGTATCATGATCAAGATGAACTTAGTATAATATGCCTTGACTTTCATGAGAATACAATATTCTCATTTTTTTTGTGCGTTGTAAATGTGGTATTTGTTGAGAACACAGAAAGGAAGCCGAGCTTATTCCCATTCCTCCATCCATGATGAAAAATTTCTGTATTTATTACTTTCGAAATCTTTACGCAGAATTAGCTTGTATATGATATTGTTTCCATAATTATATATCTTCCATCAGTGCTGTAACACCATGCAATAATAACAAATAGTCGTATGTTGGAGTATAAGTCATGACCCAAGTGATACCCCAGAGAGTGTCCAAAGATCTTTGTTTAGAAGTGTTCCGAAAGACTGGGAATATCTGCAAGGTAACGGTTATTAAATCACTAAATAATTCTTGATTTTAAAGGTTCGGCCCTTCCTTTGCCAGTGAGAGTCTGTTGGTTTCAGTAGTGTGCTATTGTGCAAGGCAGAAGGTCAGTAATTTTTCTCTCTGCTTTGATAGTATTTTATTTTGCTTGTTATCATACTTACCATGTTGTAACAATCTGAAGACTTATTTGTGTATCAACTTTTGGCAAAGAATAAGTATTTAAATAGGTCCTTAAATTTTTGTTCTCTCCTATTAACACTGTCCTCATACTTAAGTTTGAATACAGTTCAAAACTGCTGAAGGGATTTCAAAGTCATTTTATAAGAAGTCAGCCAAGAACGAATGAGTGGTATTTCTATAAATCCATTGAAATCCAATACTTAATCCAATAGCTTAAAATGTTATGAGCAAGCTGAGTAGATGGGATCTAATTAATCAGACGATTGCTCTCAAATGTATGTAGTATGACCGATTAATTTAATTTTTTTTTCTTGTTCAACTACTGGGTTCTCCACACTTTAAATTATAGTTTTGCATTTGTTTTTAGGTAAACTCTTAAGAGTTAAAATTAAATCCTTTGAGTCGTCTCGTTTTAAATCAATATTTTTATGGGGTGTGTTTATATTATTGTAGATATTAGTTGTTTACTTGAACTCTTGAAATTTCTGGAATTTTTCTGTAGATATTTGTGTGGGAAAATATACATAACCAAAAAAACAATAATGGAATAAGAAATCGAATGAACAACAAATAATTTTTTCATTAAAGCTCCACTGTAATTATTTTCTAGTAAAGTTCAGCGTCTCATCATCTCTAATAACAGAATAATGAAATGAAAAGGTGTCTAAAAGTAGGATTCTTTCCTTCTGGAAGAATAAATATTTTAAGCTAAAATCTGTTTAATAAGGCTTAAACGAGGGGAGATTACGAAGTTTCTGAAAAATTAGGTTGTTCGAAAAAACATCCTCCCATTTTATATGTTTTGAAATATCAAAAAACAAGACAAAAATGAGTTTTTCAAGTTGTTTTACTCTATTCATTGAACTCTGAAGTGTTGAAAATTTCTTTTCTATTGTTTTTACACAATTAATTGTAACACATCCCATATTTCATACTTGGTTTTATGTGAAAACTGGACAACTAAGAATAATTCCTCACAGTCATCGAAGTCTATCACTAGCAAGTGTTCTATCTATTAGTCTCAGGCAGCGCATTTATATAGATGTGGTTGATTTTGAAGGAATTTGCATTAAATCATCCTAGGAGCGCTCTTAATTATGAATTTAAATGATTTTATTTTTTAAATTAATTTTCTCTTATTCTTGGTTTGTTCTCTGTCACAAATGCAAGTCTGACAAGCACAATTGAGCTCCACATTTTAAAACTTCTGCACTCTTGTACTTTTTTTTATTAATAATCACGTTGGGTCTTTTACTTTGGGTTTTTCTCTAAAAATTTTGTTTTATAATTTATTTTTTTTTAAGTGAGTGATTGAATTTAGCTTAAATCTATGGCGAACTAACTGTAGCTCTTCCTCAGCACAAATGTTTCTTGATTGTAACTTAAACGCAAATCGAGTAAGATTTATCCTTGCAAGAAAATTCTGCCTTTCCTGCTGGTCCACCATAAAACTTTTGAGTATGTACATCTTTCCCTGTAATAAGAATTCTGACGTAACTTAGTATTGAACTCGTTCAACTATAATGCATACTCAAGTTTTTGTTAGTTCAGCAATGCCCTCGACTTACTGTAAATGAGCAGAAGAAAGCTAGGAAGGTTGTTTATTTTGGTTAATGGGAAACACTCGAGATAGTCTATTACTGACAAAAGATTTGTTTTAGTAGGCAAGCCACTAAACATTTTCTTCTGAATTTTTGCATCCGTGAAGTTTCAAATTTTGGCCGGTAAATTTTTAAAAAGTTCAAGTCTCCCAGCAAAAATCTATATAATCCCTAAGGATTCACAAAGAAATATTTTTGAGATTTCTAAAATCTTTGAATATCGTTCTGCACAAAGAATCAGACTCTAAATAATTTTTATAACAAAATTTGAAATTTTGATCAGTTCCTGTTCGAATAATTCATTTGTTTAATTAAGAAAAAAGTGTTTTCCGCATGGAAAGCGCAATTAAGCTGTCTCCAGTTAGGTCAATGCCTCTAAATGCTTTTACTGAAGTATAAGTAATGAAAGTAGACCATTAAATCCAGTGAAAGTTAATGCTGTATTCGGAGTGATAAAACTAAATTGTTAGAAAATTCATACTTTTGTAAACAAAGAGAATCAACCATGCCATTACCTCATGTCAAGACCTAACTGGATCAGAATCAATGCTCATTTTCTTTTCTTCAAAGTCTCTGCTGACTCATCTTTCCGAAGTCCTTTATCATATTCCATTGTGAATTTTTTGAGAGTTTACAGAGCCTACAGCGAAAATGTTCGAACAGTCAAATAAGATCCTAAAGTGTGTCATTACCTCTGAATCACAAACTGCTCGTTTAAGAACCTCACTTGTCTTCAATTTCATCAACTGTCTCTATCATGATTTTGTCTGTTTTATTTTTTAGCTTGTTAATTATTTTTAGCCATATGATCCATATAACCGTTGTATAGTTATGCATTTAAGTCATAATTTATTTAGAAATAAAAAAAAAAGAAAAAAAGTGTTAGTTCAAAATATCAACTGATCGGTTTTTTTTTATTCCTCTTAATTCTTACTCTTCCATGGTTAACCACTAAAATTGATTTTACAGACAAAGTAAATTAAATGCGTTAGGGTCTGTAAAGCCTCTTAAAGCCCAAGATTTTATGCACTCGAATTTTTCTCTTCAAATTTGTATTTTATTTTCAACACCCTCGAATTTGGAGGGTTGTCTAAATAGACCTTGAAGTTCTTGAATTTCCATCATCTTTGATATTGTAAATAAATGATGAAACTGCAGAAATGCGCATCTCGGTTTGCTATGTTGCAGTCTCCCTATCATACTTTATTTTCTTCATCGGAAACCACGATACTACATCTCTTAAAAAATTTCAGTGATTTTTCCTCTTTATGTTTAGAATATTCTGTGAAAATTTCGCGCCACTAAGTTGGTTTGGTCTCCTAAAAAATAAAATAGAAGCAGAGACTTTGAAACATTGCAACCAAGATATGCACTTTTGCTGTGCTCTGTCAATATGATGGTTTTGAAGATCAGTCATTAGTAAATTTCAATGGAGACCGTTGAAATGTTGAACCTCGTCATTTGTATGCCTCCTTTATGCATCTGCCAGCAGACATGACACAGAACAAAGGTATGGGAACAAGAATCTTCCAATTCAAAGGAATTATTTAAGACCTTCAATATTATTTTGTAAAATCTTGAATGTACTTACTTGATTTTACTGAGTAGAACTCCTAAAAAATTCCCTGATTTTGGTTTAGAAAAGCTATCATGAACCTAATCCTGTATATATATTTATATATTAACATTTTTAAATGCCTTTTGGCTTCACAGGAATACAAGCCAAATATTTGCCAACATGGGCAAAGAAATGTGGCTAGGCATGAAATCCTGATTTTACTTGAAGCATAGTATCAATAATGCATAATGGTGAAAGTTGCGAATCGTGGATTGCAATTTTTCAAAACCTCCATAAATAATCCGTCGATTAATTTTTTCAGACAAGTCAGTAAACGTTTCAGTTCAAAATTTTCTTTGAATATGTTGCACAGGACGAACAAAAATTAGTAAAAATTTCTTTGCAATGATGTTCTGCAGTTTCCATTAAAAAATTGAAGGACAAACCTACTCAGAGTTACCATTGCCTCTTGAGGGTAAAATCTACTTTCTCCAACTCATTTCTCACAACAGAGCCAACAGACTAGACTTCGGAGTGATGGCTGTTTATTGAAGAATTGAGGCCAAGAAATCATAATCTGGGCGTCACAAGCTAATTAAAATAATACTCAATGATGAAAAAAAAGAAATAGACTAGGCTACCCACCACCAACATTACCAACATTACACCTACTGCCCTGGGATTTATCTTTTTCCTAGATCCCAACGCTTAAGTTTCACCACCAGGATGGCATGAAACCGAAGAAACATATATCTGAAAAAATAGGAAATAACTTGTGAAATTACTTGAGACTTCGAAATTTTTGAAAAATATGAATCATTCACGTAAAGGATAGGGTATGCAAGTCTCGCCGAAAAACCGAACAATGCACTAAATCTTCAATTTTTTTATTAAACTCCGCATTTTTACTTTTATTTCTCGAATGGAAAACGTACGAGTGTGGTAAAAGCGAGTAAAATAGTGCCCCTGGTCAATTATTGAGGCATAGTGTTTTGATTATCAATTGGCGGTAGCTGATAATCTACGAATTTAAATTAATATCTCTCAAATATTTCTGAAATTTCATGAAATTCTCGGGAAATTCCTCGATTTTTTTTTGAAATTTTGCAACCGTGATCACCGGATCACCACATAATTTGATCAAACCTGGCAACGCTGCTTTCAAATGCACATTTTTTTTAGGTTATGTATGATTGTTTTGTTTTTCTTGAACATCGAACATCGTGCAAAAAAAAGTGTTCTGAACCATTCGTAACTCAGTCATTTCTTTTTCCATCATTCAGAGTGTGTTTTCTTTCTGGAGCGATTTTGATATTAGAGTAGCTTCTATTGTCCTAAAAGTAACTTTTCTCTCATGTCAAAATGATGCAGAAATCCCTAAAATTTTGTATCATTCATACCGTCTGTATTGGAGGATTCCAACCATAGCTTCATTAGTTCTACCGTCTATCTACTTCAACTCAAGAATTACTTTACAATTACCCATGCGTTTACTAACAAAATTCAGCTTCTGAATCTGTTGACACTTGGGTTGTTGACTGACTGAGGTAGCGTGCAGTAGCTCTAACCATAATGAGAGTGAACGACAAGTGTCTCATTGAATATAGCCTCAGTCAGCCAGATTTTGAGGGAAGATTAAATTATAAAAAGATTGTCAATGGAGGCAGTTACTCTCAAAAAGGTGAGCAATTTTTTTCTACTTTCTTAACTTACTTGTTTGGGATGAGAAAGGTTGATGTTTATTTTATTGCTGGGAGAGAAAGTTAGATTGTTGGAGACAACGTACTCAATGTAAAATCAGAATCTCCTCAAAAGAAGACATCACAGATTTTATTTTAAATCTGTGGAGTAATTACATTAAGAGTTGAAAAAAAAATCCTAAGAATGTCTTGCTGCACCAATTTACATCGATTGCAGCACGAATTTACATCCTGTCACTCTTTGGAAACAGACTGTCCTTCAAGGCGGGCAAGGAAAGGTGGTCGCATTTCGAGTTGAGCCATGCCGCCGTTTTAAAGGCTGTGACGCGCAGAGGGTACATGCTTTGCCATATAATCAGGATGTACCCGGAACGTACCCGATGCCGTGTGACGCCAAGAGGGTACGAAATGCGACCACCATTCTTTATCCGCCTTGTCTGTCCTTGGGGGAGGGGGGTCTACCATCAAGTTTGCAGCAAGAGAAGTAGGTACACTTGTGGCAACTCAAAAATTAACTTCGTTTAAAATAATGAACTTACCCAAGTAAAATGATTTCCATAAGACAAGATTGGAGTAATCAAAATCAACTACTGAGAATTGGCATGTATATCATTTGAAGTTGCAAATGTAAGTATAAGACTACAAATTGCTGATGAAAGCGTTCAAGTCACTCATTGCACTTGTCCAACCAAAAAGTACTTAAGGAATATCAACCGGATGACCTGAAAAATAACTTGAGTGGTCTGCCTTTTTTTGCATGGGTCCAAATGAACTGACTTTGTGAATTCAAGAGGCACTCAAGAATGGAGCAACAACAAACTTTTATACTCCCTATCTATATTCCGCATTAGTCAACATGCAGGAGGAGCTAAGCCCTACAATTCCATAGAGTACATAGAGTCATAATGTAAGTGGGTGAGCTGGCGCCACTTTCAAGCATTTTCCAGGTCCCGAATTCCAAGACTCCTGTGTAATGCCGGGTCACTTTTTCGATACATAATCGATTGTTTGCGATACACAGGTACCCGGCCATCTGATGTAAACAAAGAAGATAGGAATCACCACGTATTCCACCCCGCCATTTTGGACCGAACATGTATCGAAAAAGTGACCCGAACTCGGCGCACATCGGGCTCGGAACTCGTCAAGCAGAACATGGCGCCAGCTCTCCTATTTACATTACAACTCTATGTACAATTCTTACATGGAAGGGTCAAGTTGAGAGGAGAAGAAGAAGAGGATAAAAAATATGAGTGTGACATAATAAACGGACACTCCTTTAAGCAGGTTGAAATTAGTATTGCTTGATTAGTAAGTGCATGCTTTCAGTCAATATCTTTGATGCGCGTCAATTTACCAAAATTGTGAGAATCTTTCTCTTGATCACCAGCCCATTTTTTATCTTTTTGCCATTATCTCATTAAAGTTTAATTTTTCTGTTGCAGGTTTCAAAGAAAGATGGTTCAAACTCAAAGCCAACTTATTGTTTTACTTCAAAATCAACGATCTCGGCCAGATTGAAAAACAGGTAAATTGAATAGTAGAGTGCACCGTAACTTACTCATTTTATTTCGCGGTATGAGAAAGCAGAGAAAAAGAAAACTTCAAGAGAAAACGTGCAGGTAACAATAATGGACAACTCATGATGCTGTATTTTTCATTTTAGCAGGAGTTTTTCAGCAGACGGAATAATTATTTTGTTCGGAGGGGGGTCAAAAGTCTAAAAACTGTTATTTAATAACTTTTGAGCATTTGTGGCTCGTGTGTTAAAATTCTGAATACATCCTGTAAGCTGAAGAATGTTCAGTTTCGACATATGCCCTGGATGACAGGGCTTAAAAGCTCTATCAACAGCTAAGGGGCAGATCTTCCTAATTTTAATTTCAATTCTAGTCTGCTCATTTTCATTATTTTATTTTTAGTTCCCTTCTCTTTCAGCCGTCAGGATTATTTGTCCTGGAGAATTCACGTGTCCAATCTGAGTCCAGTGCAGGATTACCATTTGCATTTTCCATTTCATTTCGCGATGACTCAGACCGGAAACATATTCTATCCGCAAGGACAGAAGATAATGTATCTCAATGGATAATGTTCCTCAGACAAGCTGCGTAAGTAAAATATGAAATTTTTATTTTAAGTATTTTTGGTAAAAGGGGCATATTATGGTTTATGCCCTTTTTCGAGAGAATGTGCATTATGAATCCTCGTAATGTCCCCCCTATAAAAATGATTAGTTTATCAATAGACCACTAAACAAGGTGTGAATTTAAGTATTATGATAAATGTTTCCTCATCAAAACTTCTTCTAGAACATTATTTGTGCAACGAATATTATTGAAAATAACTCTTAGCTAAGATATTAACGTTTTTTGATGCAAAAATTCACACTTCTTGCTTAGGAAAAATCATAATGTACTTGAGTTAAACTGCACACTCAACGTTATCATCAAATCATCAGAATGATTTAACCTTTTCAAGGTTTTCAGTATGTTATTCATAATTAATTTTGCCCATAAAATCCACTCATAGCCAACATTGCATTTATTTTATTACCTTGCTAATTTTTTTAATTCTTTTAATATTCCAGGTATGAGCACTGGAGATCTCAACTTATAGTTTTGCAAACAAAAATTTGCGAATTGACTGGAAATGTAAGTTACCTTACTGATATATTTTTCAAGGCATATTAAATCAGGTCAGTCATATTGTGGAGCTAAGTGCAGTGATCTTTGCTAAATTGCAGTATGCTTAGCTTACGTTGCCAGAAATTTTTCTTGTTTTCTTGCTTCATTTTTACAGTTCTTTTGTTTTGATTATATCGATCTTATGGGGATCCGGGGAATAGACACAATAGGGTAAAATATTAAAACCACCATAGTGCAATATGCTTATGTTTACTCATCAAAATTACTTAGAATCTACAGAATGAACTAAAATTTTCCAAATTCTACTCATAAGCAAGAAAATAACGATTCTTATTAATGGTTAATTCACACTTCCCTCTTACAAAAAAATCAGTGTCTACTCAAGTCTAATGAAGCACTAAACTGATATCAGTATATTTTACAATGATAGAATTTCCCTGTGGAATATTTTTTTTCAACAAGATTAAAGGTACTTTATACGAAAAGCTTGGACATTTCTGAAGAATTTCCAAGTATTACGTTCCACTGTAGTGCAGTAGGTATTTGCAAACAAAATTTGACCAAGGAACACTTTAAAATAACACCATTAGTTCGGCCCCAGTGAATATCGCCAATGGAAAGGCAAAACGATTTGCAATATTCACTCGGACCGTATTTTTGGAATTACTTCAAGGCGTATTTTGATCAAATTTTGTACGCAATTTTTGTGGGATGCACTAAAATGTGATGCAACGCTTGGGAATTTTTAAGTAATGTCCTAAAATCCAGAAATTATCAATTGATGGACCCACTATCAAATTGCTCTCCGAAGTGCTGATGAACCACCTTAATCACTCACAGTGCACACGAGAAGCATATTCCGATATTTTTAGTAAAATGAAACCTTCCGGGAAGAGTTTGGCTGTGAAATAAGAAAATAGTGAGTCAAAGATGCATATTTTTCATTTTTATTTCTTTAATTTTTTTTTTTTTTTTTAAATCGTTTCATTATTTTTTTTTATTTGTTTAAAAAATTTGTTTCATTATTTTTTTTATTTGTTTAAAAAGTTTGTCTCATTATTTTTTTTTATCTGTTTAAAAAATAAAAATGAAAAATATGCATCTTTGGCTCACTATTTTATTATTTATAATCATACATAGATGCAATGTGCGGCCAAACAACTTTCCTCAGTTTGTTTGTCTTGATGCTAGTTTTGTTTTATCGCCAGCATTTATTTCAATTAAACAGTTCATTTCCAAACCGATTCCTGAAAAATCAACATTTTTTAGCCTGAAAAATTCAAAGAATGGAAAGTTTTAAGAATTTGCCAAATTAAAAATCATGTGCCATAATGAATGTCAAAAGTGATGGTTTGGGTTTAGATGAACAAGTCAGCAATGTGATTAGTGTGTCGTTGCAACGCACAGAGAGTATATGGAGGGTAGCAGGGAACTGAAAAATGTAGGTTTTTTAATCAAATTGAGCCATATGACTCTTGCAATTTTGTACTGTTTCTAGCATGAATGCTGTGCCACTGCCTCACTTTTAAGGGTTGATTCTATTCTGTTTGTTTTCAGGTCATAGTCAATTTTTTAGACATTTACCAGGCTGGCTGCATCTTTTCCTCTTTTCTCAGTGTTTTTACATTGCCTAATATGAAAAAAAAGCCGAAAGAATCAATTTCAAAGTTATGTGTTTCTTTCTCTTTTTAGGATCCACTGTTAATGTATCCTCGGAATCAAGGCTCAGTCAGAGACATTCCTACCAAAAGAGAGATACTTTCAGAAACCTTTAAGTCGCACATGGTTTTGGAAACACAGCACGCTCATTTGCCCTCTGAATCATTCAAATCTCATGTAATTCGTAAAGAATCTCCCATTGAAACTGCAAATTTGATTGATCTTTGATCGTAACTATCTGTTAGTCTGATAAAGTAATGTTATTTTTTTTAGTTATTTATTTTGCTTTCTATTGCTCCAATTAAGAGGGACAATGTAAGTAATGCCTAAGCAAGGAATTTAAAATTATTAACGCTTTGCTCATTTGCTCAAATTGTTATCAAGAAATTATTAATTTCTTACCATTAAATCGTTTTTGTTTTATTTACAAAATCAGTCATTTTTGAGAACTACCCTCTCATTTTGACTATTTATGTATGGCTTAACTACTTTAACCATAAAGGATGTGATTTTTATTTTTCGGAAGTTTTTGGATTGCAAGCCAACCAATGTCCTATCAAATGTAAGCATTATTTTTCTAAACTTAATGAGGGTGAATTTTTTATCTATCTCCCTTGTGCTAAAATTTTGCCTGCAAAGAAAGGCTCCAATTCATTTTCTGATTCAGAGGAAACTGTGTTCAATAGATTAAATTTCTTTTGTAGTGTAGTGTTAGTGACACTAACAATCTAGACAGATCAATTAAGAGATCAAGAGAAAGAAAAATTGACAGATCTCTTTTTGACAAGTTAGAATATCCTTTAACAATGTAAAATAGGTGCAATCGTGTCGACTGTAACTCAGTCCAAGTATATGTTTGTTAAAGAAGACTTTAAGTAATGTGGAAACATTCTGCCCAATAGAACCATTTGTTTTTTATTATTATATTCTTTTACCAGTTTGGATTTCTTTTGAGAGGATTGTGGGGGCAGAGACCCATCTTTTTAACCAAAGTGTTGCTTAGTATTTTAATATACTGCTGTTTTTGATTGTGTATACATTATAAAATTCTGCTGAAATAATAAAATACAGGAGTCTATAGCAGGGAATCGTTGATGATTTCAGTTTAGTTCTTCATTTGAGCGCAAGGTCACTAACGCAAGTTTTTCAAAATTTGGGAATCCAAACGGAAACCACAAGGACCAAGTGGGGTGTCATTTTAATTTCTCATTTCCTGCTATGATAGATGGTGAAAATGATGTGAACAAGCTGGTTTATCAAATCTCTCCATTTGACAAAATCCCAAATAAACGTATGTAGTAAGCTTGCATATGAAAAAGAATATGAATAAAGAATGTAATTTACCTGCTCAACAGGACTTTTTTCAGATTCGATAAAATAATGGTGTCAGAGTGTTTCTGCTGAGATGACATTAGTTATTAACTTTTTCAGTCTCTTAAGTGATATTATGAGAACCACCAATGCGATTACATGTATTTGTGAATGTGGCTTTATGAATAATAAGAAACCAATTGAAAAAAAAAAAAGAAAAAACTGTGTTGCTGATTTTTGGCCTTTTGCTTTTCTTTTGTTCCTATATTTAACAAAGGAATCAGATTATTCAATAAGGAACACAGTCCCAAATTGCCCTCATAACGAATATATATTTTTGAGCTTACTTCGACTGAAACATTATGAAGTACAATCTTCGATGTTTTTTATCCCTTACATACTTATACAGCATTAACTTTGCTGCAGTCTTTTTTTTATTTATTTTCTGAAAGTAAAAGTATAAATCAGTATTATGTGAAAATAATTTTCAGCCTTTTATGAGATGTCTTTTTGCGTTTAATTCTTGCTGTCTGGTTAGGTTCATAGCTTCTCTGCAAACAATTGTTTTTTTTTCTCTCTTTTAAAAATGAAATTTAAGCTGCCTTTTATGTGCAATTCATGAAATTTTTACCTTAATTCCTTTAAGTTTCATCTTATGTTGCTGGTGAGAACAACCACTCTTGTCTGTGGAGCTGATATTTTAACTTTTATGTGGCAACCATTCATAGTATTTTTTCCTGCAATGTAATTTTGGACCATTTTGTCTCCTTCACACGACCAAAAAACAGCTAAAGTGGGCCGGTTTGAGCACTAATGGGCCTGTATTCCTGGTTACTTTCATAGTCCCAGTCCTTCCCTGGCACATGGTTTGGATGTGTACCTATGTTGTTTGTGAAATTGCAGATTTGCGTATCTTAGTTTGGGCCTCTGCAGACTTCTTGTCATTTCTAAATGGAAAACGGAAAACTAATAAACGTCAAGAATTGAACACTTCGATGAATTTTCTTCTCTCGATGCAAAATTTTCTGTGAAAATTTCAAGCTATGGGGTTTGTTACGTCCCTTTTTATAAAATAAAATAGAAGCAGAGATTTTGAGATACTGCAACGAAGATATACATTTTTGCAGCTTCACCGACAATAAGAAAGAGAATTATGTAAAATCGGTTAAAAGCATGTGTCACTTCCAATTTTTCACAAAAATTATCTTTGAATTTTCTGTAGGTAAAAAAGTCTCAGCTGTGCAATAGTAATAACGTTTACTTTTTTTTTTCAAGCAACTTGTCTCTTGTACTATCTCATTTTTACTGGAAAGCAAGAAAACAATAGGAAAAACCAGTCAAAAACTTCTATCTATGAACCTCCTGTGTTATAAGATGAAAGTGAAAAAAAAAAAAAAAAAAAAAAAAAAAAAAAACTATTAATGAGATAACAATCTGACAGGAAGTAAGAGGAAATATTGATGTACTTATTTTCACACATAGAAGTAAGTTGAATAGTCATAAGTGTTTTTACCTCCAATTGTTTTGTCCTGTTCTATTTTTTACATGTAAGAGTTTTTTTCAATAAACTGTTTTAGTTTTAAATTTCATTCGAGTTTTTTTTTCTGTAATTCTTACGCTGACAAGTGGTTCAGTGTCTTACAATATTTTATAGTGAGAAAAATTAAGAGTTTTCAATATCGTGATGTTTGACAGTGTGTATGTGTATATATATAAAAATGTAAGTCTTAGGTACGTACTGATTTAAACCATGTCTTTTCTTATTGTTGTTTGAAGGCACTAATGATGTTCAAAATCAGAAAAATCCGTACAGAAGAATTTTAATTTTTTTATTAAAAAAAAAACAATAAAAGCAACAAAATATTTTTCTTTAGGCTCCTCCAGGAGCTGAACTGATTGTGAAAAACAGTATACGAAAAACGTACTTAAAAAATTAATAACTGATTTTTTTTTTTTTTTTTTTTTTTTTTCAAAAGAGAGGAAAATTTAAGATTTTGGCAGTTGAAAAATCACTGGTACATCCAAAGAGAAAGAGAAAACAAATCTTCAACACAAATAGAAATAAATTAAAAGAAAATAGGAATCTTAGTACGATTACTTTAAAGGATGCAATGTTACAAACATCTATTACGCAAAAATTATCACTGCATTCTCATCTTCATGCGAAATTATGATTTAGAGACGTGAGGTCGCAGGCATGAGTCATAACAACATTCGGAACATATTATCGACTATACTGTAAAAAATTACAGCTATCAGGTTTGATTTGGTTCCAAATTCTTCTAAATGATCACCAAGTTTCAAGAGAGATTTTTTTTGCTGGGGAAATCTGAAAACAAACAAGTTTTTACATAGTTTAAAAATATTTCTTCAAATTTAAGCGTTTTGATTTGTATTCCATTTCCAGTATTGACACAGGAAGCTTTAAGTTCTGGAACTTATAAAGCAATTTCAACTGGACTGCGGGAAGCAGAAAGGATCCAAGCCACATCAGCTACTGCTAAATTTAATTGGGCAATTCAATTTGTTACATGAAAACGGTTGTGCAGATTTTTGTGAAAATTTCAGTGAATTTTCTGCATAAAGCAAAACAAATTCCTTTAAATTTTCAAAGGAATCAGCACAAATGTTCTCTTGTAAAAACTTTAATTGCCCGGTTAAATTTGGCAGGAGTGGATGTGGCTTGATTCCTCTCTGCTAAACACAGTCCAATTAAGGGATCTTCCATAGTAATATTTTTTTTTAACTGGAAATAGCAGCAAAAATCAATTTCGAAGTCGCCAAAATTCGGAGTCATTTGGTGATCTGCTGTAATGTAAGCAGGTGAGGGAAACTGCATTCACTGATTCGCTGAGGCTCAGCTGAAATCATGGTCTAGCTAAGTTGTCACAACTATCAGCTTCTGGTTGGTCATATTTTAATCAGCTCTCTTGGTTCTCTCTGGTTTTTCATGAAATTTTACAAAGAGAGGGGCTGTCCGATATTCTGCAGAAATTTTACGCCACTGACCAATTGAAATAAGTTCTGATTATTGAGAAATGTAGAAAGAGGCTATTTTTTTTGGATAAAGGAACTTACTTTTTAACGATGGAATTTAAGCTTTGCTGAACATTATCAAGGTCAATAAAGACAAGGAACTTAACCACATCAAATTCAACATTGAGTGCCAAAACTTCAACTTTCATTTTGTGCGATAATTTTTGAAGAGAGATAGATATAGTGTTGAGTATCTGTAACAGGACAAACATTGTGTGATTTTTCTCCTGGAAAACATGTTGAGAGATAAAATGAACCTTCCTTCATATTCTAAGCATCTATTATTATTTTTGCAGGTGAATTGATACAGCTTTAAGATTTAATGTTACTCACAATCCTCTTATTCACGAGACACTTATTTTGTAATCATTGAGTGCATAAGTCTTAAAGCATACGCATATTTTAAAAACCTTGAATTCTTGAAATTTTAAAATTTTTGAAAAATAAGGCCCTAGTTAAGCTTTAGATGTAAAAATTGAAAAAAATTACAGGAATTTGACCTGCAAGGAAAGTTCAAAAATTCTACTTGGTGTGAGGCAGTTTCTTGGGGGCCACCATAAGGGCTATGCAGTGAACAATATTCATTTTGTGGAAAATACAAAGATTGAAATGAGCAACCTGGGCCAACATACCTGATTTTCATAGCGTCGTCTAGTGCTTGTGTTCAATTTTTCCTCCAATATAAAGGTCACATTGACGTGAATTGAATCTGAGGTAGACATAGCTCGTTCATGTCGAATGACAGTATTTGATTCAATTTTATCCCGACTAAAACATTCCACCAGTTCACTAATACTAACTTTCTTCTCCTGAAACCTGCACAAGGAAATGAAATATAATAAATGAACTTGGTGTGAGAATTTTTTTTAAAAAAAGAAGATTGGATTTGTAATCAAGTTTACAAGAAACCGTGAAAAAAGATAAGAGTGGGCTAAAAGAACAGCAAGTGCAAGAAGTACACTTGTGTAAATAGAAAGAATGACATTGATACTATGAGAGATAAACATTTAGACGACAAATTAATACCGTTAGTGGTTTTGAAAATCGTAAATTGGTTTTTAAGGCAGTTAGGCAGTTGTTTACTTTAATATCCTTTCCGTTTATAAAATATTATAATAATAATATCAATGCAGAAGTCCGTCCTTATAAACATATTAAGTATTGCTGGGTAGTTTCTTCATATCGATTACTTTCTTTGTGCAATTTTTTAGTTTTTTTAACGGTTTTTTCATTTTTCATTGTGTGTTCTAATTTTACTGCAAGTAGATAATTTCAAGCAAGTGAGTGTGCATTGCTGACATTGGCCTGTGGCCTGTCAGAGATACTTATGCCGGAAGTGCTCCCTCTTCCAAGGTAAAAAGGAAAAAAAAATATAATACATATGATCATAATGGTATTTTAAAATATAAAAAATTGATTTCAATTGAATATTTGATGGCATTTAGTGCAGTCATATTATGAAATTACTATTACATACCTTTTTCATAACAATTTTAAGAGGTTTTAGATATGGTAAATACACACAAACTTATGATAAGTGATGACTTTTACAGATAAATATTTAGTATTCTACTTGTATCTTGGAAAATCTAAACATAATTATGTGTAATATCAAAAGAAAGTTTTATCATGCTATGGACAGCAGGCTTCTTACCTGTCTTTTATTCTGGTTCGTATCCGAACACTTCCGGGTTCTGATTCTTTGAGCATCACAATATGTCGAACGTTCATCTCTGAGCATTTTGCCTGCACTTCCTCTAAACTCTGATGGTAAAAGAAACAAAGAAATTACAGTATGTGGATGGCTCATGCAATTTATTGAGGACCTATAGGACGCAACTATCAAAATGTGTCCATTAAGCTTCAGTTCAGCGTTCCAATGGACTTGTTGTTAGTTCTAAATCATAGTTCAATCAATTATTCGTTGGAAGAATGATCTTGTTTATTTTACAGAAAAAGAAGACTTTTGTTGAGGATTATGATAGATGATCTCACATAGCACACTTTCCTTATCAATCATTGATAAATAAAATTTAGACTGATAGCTTAAAGTGCATCACTGGTGAAAACAAGATAGTGACAATCATAATATATGAGGCGGTGGTCACATCTGGGCAAGTCACCTATCCTCCAAAAATTGGTAATATATACAGATACTATGGATGATCATATCTTTTACTATTTCTTTTTCATCTTCATATACAGGGCTTCGCACCAACAGTACCAGATATCGCCTCTGTAACTTGTGAACAAATTGAGACGGTAACTTGAAATTTTAGGAGCGCTCCTTAGTCAGAGGAAACGGCTTTTGGGAACCCTCAAACTTTCAAAGGGTCCGCCTTGAAAAGAGGCAACAACTGTAAAATTCATAAGGATTATGCAGGACTTTTGGATCACTCTGTATATAAAGGATACATATTTGAGATTTGTAAGGATAGCATGAGGACAAAGATTGCTTTCTTATGATTTACTTTGAAATAACTTAATATTTTCCTCTATATTTTTCTACATTATTCCAAGGAAAGGAGGGGATTTGTACAAAAATGAATTCAAGTCAAATTGTCAGAGAAGGAAATGCTTAAAACAAGAATTGACATTATGATCATAAGCTAAACAAAATCTTTTTCTTCTCCCTTCTTTGACGAGGGCATAAGCTTTGTTTGTCCAGCCATCACAGTATCAGGCCTGCATAAAAGTGATAAAATAAAATTAGACTAGAAAATAAGTCTTTAGAAAGAGAGAGAAAACTGATACTAACAGAGACAGATTCTGAAATTGAGCAACATCGAACACCAGCAGACCATAAATCTTTTGCGACACTTAGCTTCTCCTGTGCCATCGAGTTTTGACCAACAGAACAGATAAGCACGTCAGTTATGGCCAAGGTTTTCAATTCAGGTAACAGAGCCGTAACAAATCTATCAAGAGATAAACTGATCCCTGCAGCTGACAGTGATATGTCAGTACTACACCTAACAAGCTGTCTGGAATCAGAAAGACAGTAATTGATGAACTAGGTGAAGATATGTATTTTAATTAAATAATTTGCTTGGGTTTACAACGGTTAAGATTTTTTTTCTACTTCCCAAACCACCGGAATAATTCAGAATTTCAAGACACAAACTTGTTAAATGCACATCAAAATTTCCACAGTCTGCAGTCTTTAGAATATGAAACTACTCCTTCACAATTGAAAAAATTTAGGACAACATGATTGTAAACTGAGACAAGTAATGCTACACACGTTGAGAGCATACATGCGATGGGTTGGATAAAAGTCTTCAGTACAGAAAAAAAAAAATTGCTGATTCAACAATTCAATTGCTAAAAACAGTGAGTGCAATGTTTCAACGCAGATTTTACAACAAAGAAATGCTACTTTAACCACATTGTAAACTAATTTAACCACGGGGGTAGTTAAAGTAGCATTTTTTTGTTGTAAAATCTGCGTTGAAACATTGCACTCACTGTTTTTAGCAATTGAATTGTTGAATCAGCAATTTTTTTTTTTTTCTGTGTGGTGCTACCTGAAATATTCCACACTTAAGGAGGAATGATCATAAACTTGAGTGTATTAGTTATTGCTATTGTTTTAATATTTGACAAAACTTTGTTTAAGAGAAAACACAGTGCGCGAGGCTTGATAGAAGAACATCATTCAACTGTTGATTGGTACTGTTTAACAATTCTGGCTGTTCTTTAGACTTTGAGGATAAAAATATGGGGAAGGGGAAGCAATATCAAAATAAGTCAACCAAGAACATACTTTTTTAGGGAAAACAGGTACATAATTAATTGATTTAGTCAAAAGAAGACATTTTTGCATAATCTTGATGTTATGGAATTTATAATAATTGTCCCCAACAGTACAATTGATACCAGTTTTAGGACGAATGATTTGATATTTTTTAATAAATTACAATATATAAAACAACAGCTTAAAGAGATTACCTGAAGCTGGCAATCAATGAGTCATAGCGTCCTCCTGATGCGAGGATGTCACGAACGCTTTGACCTTCTTTGCTTTTGTACTCTCGAACAATTTGGTACATCAGGCCAGAGTAATGAGACGCATTGGTTAACAACCCAGGAGCAATAAGAACTGGCATCTACAATGATGAAAACTTAATGTCAGTCGAAAATAAAAATTTACTTACGGTATTGTTAATTTCTAATTCTTTAATTTCTTGATTCGAAAAATGTCTGCAAATACCTGTGCTAGTGTTAATTTCACAAGAGGAACATTTTGGAGGGATCTAAATTGAGTCTAGAGCAACGCTTTGCAGATCATAATTTTGCCTGCCAGAAAAATTTGTAGATTTAAAATATTTCACACAATTTATCTTTCTTCTTGCCCAAAAGATTGATTCACAGATTAAAATACAAGAATGAAACAAACGGAAAAAAAGATTCACCTCAATTCCCAATGATTCAATATGCTTCTCGACCAATTCTAAGTCTTTGATTGCTTGCCGACATAAAAGAGCTGCTCTGTTTTCCTTCTTTGTAATTGAGCTACAAATTCCTTTTAGTTTCTTCAGGTTATGATCAGAATTGACAAAACCTTTCAGAGTTTTGAGACCATGTTCTGTCGCACCTTTGATTTTACCGATTTCATCTGCATTTTCGTGAGGCTGGAACAGATATAAGTCATTGTATTGAATAGTTAATTTTTTTAGAGGTTTCATATTTTTTTTTAATTTCGTGCATCTATAGTCGACAAACTCAGATTAGCCTTCTGAAAATATAAAATTGAACTATCCAATCTGATGAAGCAGAAAAATTAATTTAAGAAAAATTGGACTTAAAGAACTGAATCAAGCAATAACTAACTTCATTGGGCTCGATGCATTCGCTATTAAAATTAAAATTAGTATGTAAAGATTTTCTTGAAATGATAGCTCCAATTTCGATGGATTGATACCATTTTCTGGATTCACTCCCTCTATTTGCTTAGTTCTGCCATATTGTTAGTATTATCTAATGAAAAAAAAGTGATTAGAATGATCAACTCGGAAAAACACCTGGCAATGCATATTGATGATCAAATTGACATATTCCAAAGATTAGTAGAATCAACTTTATTTATGAGCTGACGCTGACATGAGTGCATCAACTTTAGATAAATTTTGGTGCCTTCTTCAATTCCTTGTACTAAATTTTATATTGAAAAATAAGGTAAGTTTGACTGTCTGGTTGCTGTATCAATCAGTTTTGAGATGAATTTGAAGAATGAAACGTAGTGGAAATTGTTTTGACAGGCATGATTTTCACTTTAAAAAAATTGTATTTAAATGAAATTTAGTCATATACTTACTTTTAAGCTGCTTAAGAGACGGATGACATAAGCATGCTTATCTTCCTCAAAGCCACAATGAAGTAAGATAGCGTGAATTAATGAAGTGTGAGAGAGCCTTATGAACCAAGTCTTTTGTGCAAATACAGATGGAAACATGTTAAATATTTCCCAAATAATTGATAACAGTTCAGCATCATCCAATAGATTTCCTGGCATCAAATACAAATAAATAAAATCGAGTGACAATGCATCAAAGATTTATTCAACGCTATGATGGGAGAAAAATTTACGGCTTAAAACAGAAAAATCACAGTTTTCTTTTTCTTGAACATTAGTTTAAAATGATACTTCACATTCTCTGGTATACTGTTGAAGTAAGACAAAAGTACACTTCCGTTGGAAAATAACCTAATTTTAAAGATCATTGCGAGTCCACAAAATAATATATTTTTTTCACTGGGCAAGTCGCAAGTTGACCAATCTGTTTTGTTTGTGTTACTTGTCTCCTTTCTCCTTTATGTCTGACAAGGTTAATGACTCCACCTCTTTGAAAAATGATGTCAGTACTCCCTAGAAGCATTTAATTAACTGTTATCCCGGAAGTCATTAAAATATAGATGACTGAGGCAAAATATTTGTGCATGGAAATCATTGATAGCCCATTTGAAGTTACAGGAACGTTCAAGTTCAGTGATGCAACTTCTCAGAAAAACGATGACAAGATTCTCAAGAAGCATCTTACTCAATGCTCCACAAGAAGCCATTAAAATATTGGTGACTCAGACATACTATCAGAGCATAAAAATTATTGATAATTTATTTCCAGTAACATGCATTTACATTAATGTGATGATTTGAAGGTTTTTACAAGAAATTGGCTTCAGTATTCTGATGTACTTCATACCTTTGTGAAAATGAGTGGGACTAATTATTCTTTGACGTTATATAAAGAACTATTCAGAAAAAAGGGTTGCTAAGATTGTGCAAATTTGCTGTTCTTTTATTTCCATAATAATTCACCTAACCCTGCACAGAATATCTAGGAAAACTGCCTCATAAGATTAGAATATTTTAGAAGGCAAACATATGCAAATAAAAACTTACGATTGACAAAAGAAATTAAAAGCAGCACAATTTAAGCAGCGAAAATTGCATATGCACCCTTTTTCAGAATGGTCCTTCATACGTATTATGTGTGCTATGGTGGAGAAATTAGTTAGAGAATTTCACTTGGATCTTGAAGGAAATATTAAAATCATAGGTAAATTACCTGGTGCAGCAGATACGATATCAAAAGCACATTCATAAAGTTCTTTGGGATGCACGCCAAACACTCTTCTTTCCCTGAAAACTCTGTCAACTGTATACCGTTTGATATTGATAATAGGATTGTGGGCTAAATATCTGGCAAATGGGACATGTAAGTCATGAGGAGCATGGACCAGTCCGCCCCAACACGTCATCAGTCGAACGGAGGAGTCACTCCTAATCAGTTCTGAGTTTGGAATAAAGAACGGCGTCTGGAGACAGATTCCTCCATGAAGCTGGAAAACCTTTTTCACTTTTTCAATCACTGTTTCCAACATATAATGCTGTCTGAAGTTTTTTGATGATGTAGGAATTGTTGGATTGAAAGTTAGATCTTCTGCTGGTGAGTATTTCTATAAAGTAAAATGACAGCTATTTTATTGATTGGATAGACATGATGAATGGAAAATTTAAAAAAGTTATTGTCAGGATACAATACACTCTCATGTGCCTATGTGTAATAAACAGTTTTAATCAATTTTTAGAAATCCATATATTGACCTCTGGAAAAGAGGGTGTTTTCTAGAAAGGAGTGATCTTTCATGTTACGACGGAAAACTTGTTTGTATGAGACTAGCTGTGTGACAAAATATTTGAATCAGTTGATGTTAAAACCGAACTTGTCTGATAAATGATGAACCCTAGAAAATGGGCTTCTGTATAGAACTCCACGCTCATCAGAACATTGACTTGTTAGCTTTAAGTATAGATTGATTCATTTGATATACACTCTATATTTGTAACACTTTGTTCGATAAAATCAATCTTTTCTTCCCTCTACTTCAATCTAAACTTTTACATAAACTATGTTTCATTTATTTTGAATAAGACTACCTGAGCTTCTTTCCTCATTTGATTAAAGTCAGAGTATGTAAGCAGAATCACTGAAACTCAGCAAGACGTAAATAACTGACCTAGTTCATGTTTAATACATTGGGCAATTGTTTCATATCTTATCTGAATGATCAGCCGTTTGTTGTCATTGAGTGTTGTTGAAATAAGATGATAACATTTTAATTTCATCCTCAGAAATACAGGAGACAACTCTAAAAAAAACTATAAAGTTCAGCATACTTTTATTCGCAAACTAACAGGGTGCTCCTGCAAATTAATATTTACTTAACTTATTGAGGTGAAAAAAATAATTAAGTTTTTGCTTGACTTTTTCGAAGAGTATGTGAAGAATGAGAAAACCTGTATGTTTCCATTTTAAATTTTGTTAAATTTTGGCTGAGAAAAAGACTTCCAAAGCCGCCAAAAATCCAACCCCATTTCAAATAGAAAAATATCGTATCTTTTCACCTGCATTTGTTTATTTGTTTCCAGGTTGGAATGGTACCAAGAGGTTAAGTATCCTGATGGTCCTCTCAGCGTTTGAAATGAGTGATTCTCCTCCCCCCCCCCCCCCCCTCAAATGAAATCGTTTTGGGTGATTTTAATTGTATGGTGGCCATGATATATTGATTTCAAGGTGGTTGAAACCATGCTTGGTCACCTCATATGACCTCATGAGCTTTAAGCCAATGAGAAATGCTCTTTATTGCTCTTTAAAGCTCGGAAATGGATTTCTCACTACAATTTATTCTGGCATCATGTGTTTCCAAAGCAATTTATAGATATTGCATCAGCCCTAATAACTATAAGGTTTTGACTCAAAAATATTCAAGCATTTTACCTGATTGAAACAAGATGCTATTAAGTACTTGTAGCTTTTGCTTTTAGGATTTGATAGAGTGTGATTGAACATATCTAACAGCTCTGCATCAGCAAGGTGGACGGGAGGAATGTATTCACTGAGAAGGAGCTCTTGAGAAGTGGGTCGTTTCGCAGGATCATGATTTAGGAGCCATCTGAAATTAAACAAACCACCTAAAATTATAGATTGTGGTGTAATTATGGGATCATCCTTGGGAAGAGTATAAAATAAATATTTCTGATTTTAAACTTTATTTTAGAAAGCTGCTACCCCATTATGTATTTTTGTCATCACTGAGTTTAGCTTGGTACACAGTCGATAAAATATTTGAAGAAAATTGACAGAAAACATTTTTTGGATAGAATGATGATGCATAGTGAGTGTAAATTAAAAATCAATTTGAGAGGATATTCGGGAAGAGATTGATTGAAACAGATGGCAGACTGGAAATATAACGGTACATCCGTAAGTTATTTAGTCGACTGAGTAGTGGTAAATTGAAACTAAAACTTGAAACGCCAGTTTTTTGATTCTTCAGTTGATTTGATTTTACTCTCTGAATAATGTCCTCATTAGGGCGTTATTCAGTGATTTGCGATTTTCACATGAGTATCATTGAATGAGTTGTTCAACTTTTTCTTGAACATTGATGAAAGTCAATCTAATTGACAGAAATAATCTAGATTACATGACTTTTTTCCAGTTTTCTGTTAAGTAAATATTGTTCTCCTCTTTCTCTGCTGGTTTCTGCTTATTTCATGTATTACTTCTTTCATCTACCCAGAGATTCACTACTTTGACTGAGTTGCGATTGCGTTGGATATAAAATAGATCTTTGATTGAATAAACTTTTTATACATAAAAGAGGAAAATCAATGTTTCTTTCAAATACTGAAAAAATAATAAATTTTGTTGAAAAACATAATGTCATTTACTTTATTATTTGTATTTGTCGGGAATTTTCTGGTTTGTCAAAATCCGCAGGAATAGAGCAGTCTCTGAGGCGTAGATCGCTTAATATTTTGAACCTCTCCATGTTGGTACCAATTGGAGGATAACACATTTCAAAAAATATTATCCCTAAACTAAAAATATCAACTTTCTGGAAAGAAAAAGAAAAGTACACAAATTATAAAAATATACCAACAGATAAAAACACAGGAAATATGATGGGTAAACGAAGATTGAAACATTGGAGGAATAACATGCACTCGAAGTCTCTCAAAATACGACAAAACTTCGTTTGCAAATTTTGCATTACCATCGTAACAATACTGTAGTAGATGAGAAAACAGAGAAGAATCGGAAAATTAAAAAACTCAAACTCACAAAATAAAATTAAAATTTTTTTTTTTTTTTTAATTTTTTTTTTTTTTTTA